TTCGTGAGCGACCATGACGACGTTTGGTCGAAGATCCAGGTGTTCGCTCCTCCAGCAGTGGTGGTGGCTTCGGTGTCAATCCCTGCCCGACAGCTGATCTTGACTGCCTATGGCCAGTTGGTGCCTGTGAAGGAGAATGCACCCAAGGGAAAGGGATCCTACTACGTGGACCAGTACTTGCTCCAGGCTCCCAAGGCTGTCGCTGATTTCGACAAGATCGATGGCAAGACGGTCCTGGTGCCGTTTTGGTATGTGCGGTGCACCAATGAATTTTCGGAAGTCAACATGCAGCTCGTGCACCAGGTGGCAGATGGAATGTCGGTGCCGAGCTTCAGGTCGATGAAGGACTTGTCTCCAGGAGACACCCTCTGCTATGCATCGGAGAACTTGGTCCTCAAGCAAGCTCAGGCCTCGTCGGCCCCTTCGCTTCGGCCCGCGAAGAGGATTAAGGCCAAGGGCACTGCATCGTGAGCAGCCTCCGAAGCTTCAAGTAAGCACAGTGCAGAATATGTTGTCCTGCTAGGCACAGTGTTGGTGAATGGTCTTGGATGCAATCCATGCAGAACTTGTTCGTTCTCGGGAATTTTCTTCCTCCCTTTTCAGAGATCGAAATGTCGAGAGGTGTGCGCTAGCGAATGTCATTGTACCTGTGGCGACAAAAACCCTGCACGTCTTTTCTCGACAGACATGAGTCGCAGCGCGCAGCATGGCATTATAAAATGTTTATGACATGTCACTGACTGTCACAAACCATTGTAGCTGTCGGCCCGAACGATTTCGTCGCCCCTGTCTCGCCCTGTTTGTCCTTTTGTGCCATGGCCGAGCTGCCTGAAGTCCAAGTCCAGAAAGCTCTCATCATTGTCCATGAGGGGCAGAAGATCTCGATCCCTTCTGATTTGACCTGCGAGGAAGATGGCCATCAGTACTTGAGACTGGTGTGCAGCAATTTCGCCATTTGCCGAATGGTGTGCCCAGGTTCCAAAGCCAAGAACCTTTCTCTGGCGACGACAGCCAAAATGACAGAGTTGCGAACCTTGGTCCTGGAAGCCATGCTGCCGAAACCCGAGGATCCAGCGGAAGATATCTTCGCTGGCGAGCAGGAAGGGAAGAACCCTGGGAACAAGAAGAAACGAAAGATGGCCAGTGAGGCCTTCGTCCCTACCTGCAAGCTGGTAACCCTGCCGAACGTAGGGCCAGCCTGGTTTCACATGGTTTCCTTGAAGTGGTTGCCTGCTGTCAGGGTCACAGAGCTGGATTTGCAGAGGCTCTTCAAGTACCTGGCACCAGATTGTGAGGAATGTTTGAATGCCGACAGGCGAGGCTATGTGCCCAGTGGAAAATTTATTGGCAAGAAAGCCAGAAAGTAGGCTTGCCAGGAGACAATCACACAAAGCATGATCGGGGAAATCATCGTGTGGTGCTGGTAGTTGTGCAGGTGTGCTGTCTTGTTTTGTCGCTCTCCCCTATGTTTGAGCCCTCGGGCTGCATGTCTTTTCTCATGTCCGAGCCCTCGGGCTTTTCTTTTCTCTGTTGAAGCCATCGGGCCTGTCTGCAGCTGAGGATCGGAGGTGCACTGAGAGGGGTCTACGTCAAGAACGAGAACGAGGCGAACAGCCATGTGGCCTACAGGCATCTCACCGGCCCCACTGTGCTCTACCTGGTGTATTCACCCAGGGGAGATGCATACTACTTCACGACCGATCTGGTCTCCGAAGCTGCCGATGGGAGTGGGTGGGAGTCTGCCACCGTATTAGCACGTGCTGATCTCGATGGGTCTACTTTTACCCAGGTGGCTGTGCCATGGTACGGGGCAGACGTGGCTCGTGTGCACATCGAGGAGCTCTGCACTACACTGGAGAAGACGGTGGGCTTCCTCAACAACCAGAATATGCAGCTGGCCCAAGAGCTGCAGTCATCGAGGGCCACTGTGGATCTGCAGCATGAGCAGCTTCAGCAGATCCAGCAGTCTGGATGTGAAGGGTGTGTTTCTGCATATTGAAGTATAATGGGGTTGACAAGACAAGGTCGGTTTTCGTTTTAGTTGTGTCCCTTCTCCCTGCAGGCCGAGCTTGCCGATGAGAAGACCAAGAGACGTCGGCTGGACTGGGGGTACTTGAACATTCTGGGCTGCTTGGCTGCTTGACATGGGAGCCTTCGGGCTGCATGTTGTATGTCCCATGTCGAACCCCTGAATGTTGCTCTCCATGACATATAGAGCCTTTCGGCTGCGTGTTCTGTGTGACATGTCCAACCCCTGAAGGAGCTTGCCGTGGCGACTCAGGCTTCGACTTCCAAGTCGGCCCATGCCAAGGCTGCAGCCAAACCTCCACCTCCACCTCCAGTATCACATGTGCCAGCAGGAGCACCTCTCTCAGCAGGTGGACAAGCAGATGGATCGTCGCAGCCAGGCCCAACGTCCTTCGCAATGGATGGTTGAACAAGACAGTGGCTTTGGCTGGGGCGGTGAAGTTCCAGGACGCAGACAAGTGCTTCGAGATGATCGAGAGGCTAGGAGGGATGACCGAGCCTTCGGGCTGCATGTTCTCCTGGTGTCGTGTGTTTCGAGCCCTCGGGCTTCATGTGTCGAGCCTTCGGGCTGCATGGATGCTTGTTCTGATCCCTGAAGGTTCTCTGCCAAAGATTACACCTTCAAGACCTGCCTGGCCACTCACTTGGAGGTGCTGGCCAAAGATGGGGTGGACCCTGCCTACGACCACTAGGCCTTGCCCCGAGCCACAGCTCTAGGAAACAGCTAGGCAAAGAGGACGAAAAGTCTAGGCCTGCAATACTAGGTCTTGGAAAGACTGGCTGGAGCAAGGCAGCCACTGTGTAGACCCCAGCAACACCAGTCCAGATCTGAGAACCCCAACCGCCCTAGGTTGATGTTATACCAAACAGTATCTAAGCGACCCTTTTTACCACCAGACTTTACGTGTCTCGAGCACCTAGCCTCTACATTCTGCATCTCGAATTTAGTATAGTTCACTAGCGACACCCACACCATGCAAAGCTTAGCCTCACAACACACACCCAGCTTATTCAATAACAACTACTTCATGAGAAGCACGAGCACACGTAAAGTGCACTGCTGGTCGGATGGTTGCTACAGCTGCAGTCCGAGACGCAAAACAGAATGTAGCCGAGTGATTTGTTGAGTGTGTGGAAGCTTGGGCGAGTTTTATGTCTGTATTTGTTGCATTGTGGTCTGGTTGCAGTGTTGGAGGCGTTGTTGGTTTGAATCATGCACTGATTGGTCCTTGTGACACAGGCGAGCAGTGAATTCATTACACTGAATCAGGGGTGTGGGGGGAGGGTCGCGAAGTCAGTCGATTAAAATCCGGGTGTGTGGGGGAGGGTCCAGAATTCAGCCCACAAAATTCGGGGTCGGGTGGGGGGGGTCCAGAATTCAGTCCACTAAATTCGGGGTCGGGTGGGGGGGTCCAGAATTCAGTCCACTAAATTCGGGGTCGGGTGGGGGGGGGTCCAGAATTCAGTCCACTAAATCCGGGGTCGGGTGGGGGGGTGGGGTCCAGAATTAAGTCCACTAAATTCGGGGTCAGATGGTAGGATCACAAATTCAGTCCATTAAGTTCTGTGTTCTCGGTGGGAAGCTCGTGATTTCGGGTCACAAACTTCTGTGGCAGATGGTGACCATGACCACATAATAGTTTGAAACCCACTGATTCATGCCAACACAAGCCTGTGCAGCCACATCAGTCCGACTCCTCGCCTGTCCAATCCAGCACCACGACCCACACCCACCCACAAATTCAGACCCTTTCCTGTTGCTAGTGTTGGGTTGTGTTGTCTAGGTGTAGTTTGTTTTAGCCTTGGTGTTGGTGGTTGTGGTGGCGGTGGGAGGTTGTTGTTGGGGTGGTGGGTGGTGGTATGTCGGTGATGAGTCGTGGCTGGTGTGGCTAATGCTGGTGGTAATGGTGGTGCTGAAGTTGTTGGTGGTTGTGGTGGTGGTGGTGGTGGTAGTGGTGGTGGTGGTGGTAGTGGTGGTGGTGCTGTTGGTGGTGGTGCTGGAGGTGCTGGTGGTGGTTTTAGTGGTTCTGATTTTCTAATGTTTACCTACATTAATCTCAGTGGAGCAATGAACGGTTGCTTTGCATCTGCAGCACGATGTCCCAAGTCAGTGGGGAGTGTAGAGTGCAGGTGCCCAGCACCACCATGCAGCACCAGCACCAGCACCAGCAGCACCACCACCACCACTGCCAACACCACCACCACAACCGAGGCAGACAGCCACAGGAGCCCACCACCACAATGCACCATGACCTAGACTAGCAGGTCCTAGGAATCCATCCATCGGAGCCATGGATGACCAGTGGCTGCAGAAGCAGAGGCTGAACATCTGGCCAATCCCGGGGGCGACCTGTGTGGCCTTGGCAGTGATCGCCGAGTCAGACGACCCGACACTGGGCAGTTCAGTTATTGTTTCTTTTTTTTCCTCCGCGTGTGCTGTTGTGCTTGGAGCCTTCGGGCTGCATACTTCTGGGAGATCTTGCCAGTGTTGCATGTGCTGCTGCTGGAGACCAGGGGGCTGCTTGTTCTTGGGTGCGCATTGTGCATGCAGCCTCCGGGCTGCGTTGTCCTTGCATGGAGCATCAGGCTGCATAGTTGCTCGAGCCTTCCGGCTACATGTTGGTTGATCTTGAAGGCAAACACCTGCAGGCAAGGAAGGCTATAGAGGCTGGCACACACATGGAGCCCGAAGGCGTCGACACACATATGGTTCTCGAATTAAACAACATACAGCCCGAAGGCTCGAACAATCATGCAGCCAGATGATCCAATTACAATGCAGCCCGAAGGCTCCTCCCACAATGCATACCCAAGAACATGAGCTGGGACACACATGCAGCCCGAAGGCTCCGACACACATGTCGCTCCTGCCCACCCCTCCTCCCCCAACCCAGCATTCGTTCTGATGCACCAGACCAGTGTTTGGCTGCAGTGATAGCCTCTGGCTTTTGGTTGCCTATAGCGAGCCTGCTATGTCTTGGGGTGCCAAAGAGTTTCTCAAAGAGCTCGACGACGTGCAGAAGCTGCTGGCCTTCGGAGCACCAGTTGCTGTGCAGGATGGCATGATCCAGGCCTTGTGGAAAAAGATCGAGGCATGCGACACGTTGCTGCCTTCGGACTTGCTGGCCATGCTTCAAGGCATCAAGGACTCTGCTTTGCCCGAGAGGTCGAGCCAGTTTCTGAACGAGAAGCTGATGATGAAGGCATGCTCGGCAACCCAAGCCCAGCAAGGCCACAAAGTAGCCTCGATGCCCCAATCTTTAACGAGCCTGCCAGCTTACCTGACCGACTCGGAACTTGCCCAGTTGATGACGGGGGATCCCGACCAGGCCCCCCACGTCATGGTGAAACGCTTGAGGCTGGTGGGCCTTACTTCCTTAAAAGAAGATACGAAAAAACATGTCGTGTCTTTCTTGAGCCAAGTCGCTCTCTGGCACGGATTTCCGAAGCCAACGCCAGACGAAGTCTACGAGATGTCTGGGACGTTCTCCAAGCTCTTTCACGATAGCGACATCGTGTCACCTGTTGCACCCATTAGGGTGTATCCGGCTTTGCCGACCGAACTGGGGGCCGATTGGATTGCCCAAGTGTATGGCCAGGAGAAGCCCAGCATGAAGGTGTTGACTTCTTTGCGAGGGCTGTCTGTTGGATGCCCAGTCAGATCTACAAGTTCGTTGCTGAGCAGGAACATGGCCAAGAACGTGCAGATGGATGACAGAGACTCAGCCCAGTTTGCAGCCTTGTTGGGCAAGCTCGTTGGTGTTGGCCAAATTCCAGTGGACAAGTCACAGAATGAGCCCAAGATCACTTTCTTCAACCGTGCCAAGGAGCTGCAGAACACTGCTTCCAGCAGCATGTCGCTTCCAGCCTTGCAAGAGATGCAGAAGATTCCGACTCCGGTATCGTCCATGAAGGCATCGGCATTGCCAGAGTCGGCATCGCCTGGCCCTTCGACTGTAGCAGCACTGACTACTGCCGAGCCCTCTCCTGGCCATGCATTGCCCAGCCCAGCCGAGATTGCGATCGCGCATGCGCATGTGCCAGCAAGTGTGGCCCCAGAGCCCGAGGAGTCTGCCAAGCCTCCCAAGTCGTTAAAAGACTTTGAAAAAGAAGCAATGCTGTTGCTGCACGCCCGAGCCAAGAAACCAAGGACCGAGGCAAAGGTTGAGAAAGCAGCCGAGGGCCAGCAGATCGTGGGCAAGCGAGTGCGGGCAAGCAGGCTGACAGCAACTTTCATGCAACCACAGCCAAGAAGGCCAAGCAGCCTCCTGCGAAGAAGCCTCACAAGGCCGAGCAGAAGACTAAGAAGATCACAGGCGGTTGCCTGAGGTGCCGAGGATCGCAGCACGGATGCGACACGTGTCTCGCTGCGAATTTCGCAGGGCAAAAATTTGCGAATAGATCCGCGTGGAAGGAGTTTATGATGCGAACCAGGCAACGCCTAAATTGAGGCAGCTGCATGGCCGTCATGTTTTCGTAGTCTTGAGAGCAGATGTTCCAGGGTGATTGCTGGCCAGGGGAATGGCTTTATGCAAGATACCATCCAGGACTAGAGCTCAACTTCGTTCGAGTATGTGGGAGAAAAAGAATCGGTTTGCCAGAGAATGTTCAAGCATGTTCGGAAATGTTTGTTTCCAAGGTTGTGTTCGGCCAGGTCTGTTTCCAAGAACCTGTTCCGACATGTTTGTTTCCAAGAACGTGTTCCGACATGTTTGTTTCCGAGAACCTGTTCCGAAATGTCTGTTTCCAAGGCTGTGTTCCTACATGTCTGTTTCCAAGGCTGTGTTCCGACATGTTTGTTTGCAAGCCTGTGTCCAGACATGTCTGTTTCCAAGGCTGTGTTCCGACATGTCTGTATCCAAGAACGTCTTCCGACACGTCTGCTGGTTTCTGCAGACATCTGGTTCGTGCCGAGTTTCCAGGCCAAGCCATGTCGAAGAGAAAAGGAAAGGCAGATGTTGCTGGAGCTAGTGCCGAAGCCAGTTCTAGCCGACATGGGAAGCTCCAGCGACTCGAGGGGTTTCGGAGACAGCTACCTTTTGTGAGTTGTTCTGCCTTGAGCAGCATCCTCGATGCTGTGGAACGAGAAGGGGTTCCAGAACTTCACCGACGAAAGCATATGAAGGAGGCAGTGGTTCAGATGACAGACGGTTTCAACAGTTATGGTCCTGGTCCATTGATACAGACACTGCAATCATCCCGAATTGATGGAGGCACCGAACCCTTCCCTGTCCTCAATCTTGCAAGCATGCTGCAGGGCTCCTTCGCCCAAGGTGGGTATTGGGAGAATCTTTTGACCACTCTGCATCGCAGCAGACCTTCATCTCTTGATGCCCCATGGCAGGGTATACTCTACTGTGACGAAGTCCATCCCGGCAACCAGTTGCCGGACAGCAGCCGCAAGATCTGGGCAGTATATTTCTCTTGGTTGCAGCTGGGCCAAAAGCTGCTGACAAACGAGAGTCACTGGTTCACACTCATGGTCTTGAGAACCGACCAGGTGCAGACTTTCCATGCTGGTATAGGCCAATGTGTGCGACTCCTCCTGGAATTCATGTTTGCGAATGAGCACGGAAATCCACAGCATGGGATCACCCTCTGTGGCAAAGAGCAGTCCTTGAGGCTTCATTGGACACTTGACGTTTTCTTGCAAGATGGAAGTGCGCAGAAGCAAACTTTCAGCAATCGCCAAGACAGTGGCAGCCGAGTCTGCATGCTGTGCCGAAACATTTTCGCGATCGGCACTGAGGAGACCTTGGATGAGGATCTGACAATTTCTGCCAGGCATCTCACCATGGCATCTTGCGAGCTTGCAACAGATGCCAAATTGCTGCAGAGTTGGGATCGCCTTGCCCAGCATTCGCAGTCCGACAACAAGGGGACCTTCAAGATGAGACAACAAGCTTCTGGCTGGACGTTCTCGGAGGCTGCCCTGCTCATGTCGCCTGTCTTGCGAAGCTTGGGTCTTCTACGTCCAGCCACCCAGTATTGCTTCGATTATATGCATGGACTTTGCAGCAACGGGGTGCTTTGCTTCGTCTTGTTCTGGGCATTCACTGCATTCCAGCAGGAAGGGCTCAGTTGTGGCATTGGCCCCTGGCCCAAAAACAGAATTCCTTGCACAAGTTGTTCAGTGCAGAGAAGGTTAAGAGCCATAGGAAGGCCGGCCACTTCAAAGCTTCGGCCTCGGAGATGCTTGCTTTGTCAAGGCCCCTGCAGCATTTCCTGGAGACGTACTGTGTTCTCCCTGAAGTCCAGGTGTACAAGGATGCCTGCATATCATGGTTCAGGTTGCTCGACATGCTGGTGGTGTCGGCTACGAGCAAGCCCCAACCTGGCCAGGTATTGGCTGCCTGCGAGCATGCCATGAACTTGTCTGTGGCAGCAGGTTGGGGCGACAGGCTGAGACCCAAATTCCACTGGGCACTCCATTACGAAGCCTGCCTGAACCGCTTTTCTTGTTTACCTGCTTGTTGGTCCTTGGAGAGGAAGCACAAGGTGGTCCGGAAGTATGGCTCAGCTTCCACGAACACGAGGCGCTTCGACCAGAGCTTGCTGGAAGAAGTGACAGCAGAGCATCTTGCAATTCTTTGCAAGGCTGTCCACTTTCAACCAGCAGCTCATTTGGTCGATCCGTACCCTGTGCCTCCTAAGCAGGTGTCGGCGCTGGTAGCTGCCAACATTATCACTGCCACTGAGAACTGTTGTTGCAGCAGCCTCTGCCACCTTGCTTCTGGTGCTCCGGTTTCCAAGAAGGACTTTGTGCTCCATGAGCCCCCTGCCCATGCTCAGGGACCAATGAGGTTCTGCTGTGGAAGGGTGGAGCATCTCCTGCAGGTTGGTGATGTTGCAGCTGCAGTTGTCTCTGTTTGCACCCCTTTGTCCATCGACTCAGATCGTCGAGTGGCGAAATGGCAACACAAGCCCAGCGACATGTACATTATGGAGGCAGATGCCATGATTTGTAGCACTATCCACAACCTTAGCGATGATCAGGTCACGACCCTTCTCCCTGGTCATTTGTGTCACCCTGCATGACAGAGTCATAGCAGTGTATGTTTGAGAACCTTCATTGAGGCATGCATGAGGATAACATTTGCAGTCACTGCCACTTGCTTTTGACACAGGCAGCCCGAAACCAGGCATAGTAAACACAAGGGCTCGTCCAAAACCTGCAGCCCGACGACTCCAGGCACGTAGCCCGAAGGCTCCAAACATGCAGCCCCCATGGACTCTGCCATGCATGCAGCCCTATAGATAAGCTCAAGTCATGCAGCTGAAAAAAAAATAAGGCCCGAGGGCACTTGCAGCCCGAAGGCTCTCAACGCTTGAAGCCCTTAAGGCTCCACACGTGAAGCCCGAGGGCTCAACACATGAAGCCCGAGGGCTCAACACATGAAGCCCGAGGGCTCAACACACAAAGCCCTATGGGCTCCATGCATGCAGCCTGAGGGCTCAACACATGAAGCCTATTTGGGCTCGAAACATGCAGCCCGAAGGCTCAACACATGAAGCCCGAAGGCTCAGCACATAAAGCCCGAAGGCTCAACACATGAAGCCCGAAGGCTCAACACGTGAAACCATGCAGCCGAAAGTTTTCGTTCACACATTCGGTAAAAGTATGCACATGATGCCGACACTTCAAAAACATATAGCAGACAAGTGAAAAAATGAAACAGCATAGTTCTTCCACGATACATGCTCCTTGGCATCTACATCAATCAGATTTCCAGCGAGTGGTTTCTCTGCGACTTATATACGATTTTCTTCTTCGTGAATGTCATACAAAAAAACTGTTGCGGGTGGAATTGCTTTCTGGCACAGAAGAAAATATCCGAAGAAAACGCTGGTTCGCATGTTCACAAAATCGTGCTCATGCATTATTTCAAACTCTGCTAACAGGGTTAGATAAACAGGCTAAAGGGGTTAAGATAACCAATCTAATCACTTTAGTAAACCAGCTAACCTGCTTAGCTAACCATGTTAACGATGATAACTCTTTATAACCCACAAGCAAACCCCCAGGACATTCAAGGTGCACACGCATACGCACACGCATACGCACACGCACACGCACACGCACACGCAAACAAACGCACGCAGGCACGCACGCAGGCCCGCAGGCCCGCACGCAGGCAGGCACGGACGCAGTCTTGCACACACACAGGCACACAGGCAGGCAGGCATGCAGGTAGCACGCCACTGTTGCTTCATCTGTTTCGTTATTGTGCAACAATACAAGAAACAGTAGTTTGTTGAAACCCATTGGAACCTTCACAGCGTAACTAAGAAATAGGAAATCCACCAATATGTTTGTATCGAACGCTAGTTCCGAAATAGATCATGCAATAGAGCGTGAAATTCATGGCTCAAGTAGCCGTCTGTCTTGAACAAGACACGAACATTCAAACATGTCGACCATTAAACAAACCCACAACAAAAACAAACATATATATGCATGAACATCACAAACACACACACACACACATGTGCAACCAAAAACAAAGAAATGCACAACTATACAAAAACAACCACCCACAACAAGGAAAACACACAACAGTAAAACCACGCAAACAGACCAAACACACACACACACAAACAATCATACCAAACAAAACCACAACATAAGCACACCCACCCACAAAATCGACCTACACGAAACCAAACCAAACAACAACACAAACACAACATACCGTGTTTTCGGCTTTCCCGAGAGCATTACGAAGGGTCACACAGAAATGCATCGCGAAGTACATAGGGAATCTACTCGTAAGTGCACAGAGAAAGGAATGGCAAAAATTGCATAGCAAAAGTGCACGGAGACATGCGTAGCGAAACTGCACAGGGAAAGTGCACAGAGAAAGGCGTAGCGAAAGTTGCAGAGCAAAATTGCACAGACAAATGCGCAGCGAAATGCAAAGAACCATTGCACAGCGAAAGTGCACAGAGAAATACATATGCATAGCGAAACACATAGGGAAACTGCACAGGGAAAGTGCACAGAGAAGCGCATAGCAAAATGCAAAGGGAAATTGCACCGGGAAAGCGCACAGAGAAATGCGTAGCGAAAGTGCACAGGGAAAGTGCAGAGACAAAGGCATAGCGAAAATTGCCAAGCAAAAGTGCACAGAGAAACGCGTACCGAAATGCAGGGAAATTGCACAGGGAAAGTGCAGAGAGAAAGACATAGGGAAAGTGCACAGGGAAAGTGCACAGAGAAGTGCATAGCGGAATACATTGGGACATGGCACTGGGAAAGCGCACAGAGAAATGCATAGTGAAATACATAGGGAATCTTAAGCTGCACAGGGAAATTGCACAGAGAAAGGCATCGCGAAAATTGCACAAAAGCGCACGCAGAAATTCGTAGCGACATGCACAGAGAATTTGCACAGGGAAAGTGCACAGAGAAGTGCGTAGCAAAATGCATGAGAAATTGCACAGGAAAGGTGCGAAATGCACAGCGAACTTGCACAGGGAAAGTGCACAGGGAAATGCGCAGCAAAATAAACACGGAAATTGCACAGGGAAAGTGCACAAAGAAATGCATCATGTTGACCCCGGATAAATAAGCCTCAGTTCATTCACATGGGGGTGTTCCCCTCCAAAAGTGATTTTTAAATCCCGGCTCAAACCAGGGACACCCCCATATTGATAGACAGGGGATGATTAACCCGGGTCAACCTTAGCGAAATAAACAAGGAAATTGCACAGGGAAAGCGCACAAAGAAATGCATAGCGCAGTACATCGGGAAATTGCGCTGGCAAAGTGCACAGAGAAATGCATAGCAACATGCAAAGGGAAACTGCACAAATAAATGCATAGCGAAATAAAAAGGGAAATTGCACAAGGAAAGTGCACAAAGAAATGCGTAGCGGAAATTGCGCAGCTTCGAGCACGCATCAAACGAAGAAACTTACACGCGAGATTGAAATTCGTCTTTTACGGCGGCGCGGTGGGACCGAACCCACTCTGCGAAAATGACACCCTCTGCGGAGATCGACGCGGTCGATGTGAAAAAGGATGAGGACTTTTTGCGACCCTCTGCGGACATCGGCGTAGTCGGTGTTAAAAAACGTGCTGAGCACTGTTTTTGTCACTTCTGCTTCGCCGCGGTAAAACCTGGCGACGTTTTGCGATTTTTGAAGCGCCCGCATGACCCTGTGCGCGGATCGCTCTCGCTGTAGAGCCGTGCGAATTTGCAAAGTACCCGACGAACCCTGTGCGGGTGTCGTGCGTGTCGAAGCGCTCTCGCTGTGGCGCCGTGCGAATGTGTCGAAAACTTTCAAGAACGAAAGTAGTGCGCAAAGTGTACTCCCGCAGCTCCGGTTCGAAAGTCGCAGCTTGTAAGCACGAAAGTAGTACGCGAAGTACAATCCCGCAGCTCCGGCTGGAATGTTGCAGAACAACTTGCTGCGTGGCAGCTGCGCAAAGCCACTTGCACAGAGCGCTTGCGCGGAGCAACTTGCCCAGAGCAACTTGCACGGAGCAGTTCGCGCAGAGTCGCAGAGCAACTTGGTCAAAGCAACTTGCGCTGATCACTTGCGCAGAGGAACTTGCTTCAAGCGACTTGCACCAAGCAACTTGCACTAAGCAGCTTGCGCGGAGAAGCTTCGGGCCAACACACAAGCAACACGTCCTTCTGAGCAACATCCCTGCATGTCGGTTTCATTTGCTCGCATTTGACGCTTGAAGCGATTGACAGATGCTGCGGCCAAGTGCTGCATGCGAAAAGCACACAAGCAACACCTCCCTCCGGGCAATCACTCCGTCGGACAGATGCTGCAGCCAAGTGCTGCGCGCGAACAGAACACAAGCAACACCTGCTCTGGGTAACCACGCCGCTAGCACTCCTGAATGTCGGTTTGCTTTGCTTTCTTTGGTGCTTGAAGAGCTTGAAGAGTTTGCCTATCTTTGATGAAGAAAGAGATGTTCTTTGACCGCAGCATTTCCATGTTTCAAAGCAAGGAGATGCAAGGACAATTGAGCAAGGGGTCTTGGGTCTGTTGGAGAAGGGCAAAGCCGGAACGCTCTCAGCAGTCAGCCCCAACTTGCAATAAAGCGCCGCAAAAATGCCTTTGAGCCTGGTAGGTAGAGCTGGGACGGCCAAACGCTTAAAGTCCCCGCGCTGGTCCCTTGGCCTGTGCTCGGGCGGGTCTGGGTTGGTTCTACAACTTCATAGCTCTGCCTGCCCAGGAGTCCCCCATCCCGGGTCCTGCTGCGTAAGGAAATCCCAGGTTTAAACAGGCGCTCTCCCTCCTCGCCCAGCACAACCACAACCATCGCTGTTGTCAGGCTCTCCGCAACATCACGGACATGCGTGAACGCGACCCTGAAGCTGCGCAGCATCCAGCCACACCTACGCTCCATGCTGGTGGCAGGATGCCAACCCTCCCTCGCAGAAGGCTTCTGGGCTCTTTTGCGGTCCTGTTCCTTCATGAGGCAGCAGAGCTCATCCTGGAACGCTTACCTGGCACGCAACTCAACCGCGATTGGCAAAGCTAGCCTCTTTTTATGAGCTTCCAAGTTCGCGACGTGATGCTTCCGCTCCACCTACAGCGGCCAACCAGACTCACTCGCTTGTGCGTGATCCTGACCAACAACGAGGTCAATCTTTCGGACCTTCGGCCATCGCTTCCAGAAGGGCGTCGCCCGCCAACTTGATCTTGGTGATGAGCACAAACTTGCCCTACGCCAACTTGACGCGCCACTGAAAGCTATCTGGATCTTCAGCAACCTCTTTGAGGGCCTCCAGAGGGCTCATATCCTCGCCAGACCCTCATGCGCTACAAGCATTCTTGGTCCAGACAAGCTTCACCTCACACGACGGCAAGCTCCTACAGCTCTACGACGCGCAAGACAACCCCCTCTCTTAGCGTCGCAACGCTTGTCGCGGACCTGTTACGAGCGGAACGTAAATGGGCCCTGCCCCAGTCCTTGGTGACGCAGTTCTTCATGCACAAGGACGGCGTGGACCCTACTCCATCGGCATGAAGAAGAAGAAGAAGGATGTAGCAAGCTCTGCAACTCCTACCTCAATCCAGATCACCATCATTCATGACCAGCGCAAGACCCTTTGCATCGCCCCTGCCAGAATCTTCTGCTTTGAACTTCCAGTTCCCAAGGCGAAGTCATCGCCCCAAACTCCCTCATCCGGAGCGAGAACATCATCTCTCGCGAAGTGGCTACTGGAAGAAGGCAATTTTGAGGTGGGCTTACTTCGAATCAGCATCGAGTTTGTCTTTCTAACGTTTTGTGACTCAGTGGCCAAGTTTCTTGCCCTGGTCACGGGCGCTGCTGAAACCTGGGCTGACGCGAATTACACACACAGCCACGGGGCAACTTTAGCCAACCATGTCAGGTATCTCGGGCTTGGGTCCAAAGCCAGTGCAAGCTCTTTGAGAACGCCGCTCCCTTTTTAAGCACGCTCAAAAGAATACGCTGTCGAGCTGCGATCCCTTTGCAGGGAACTGCCCTCAGGATTTTGGCGGCTCGTGTGCGACAAGCACAGGAAGCCATGCGAGCCAGCATTCGGCCATTTGCGGTCTTTCAGGTCCACAAATGACCTCAGCAGACCTGCGCTGATGCGCTGATGTGCATGCAGAGACCAAAGCGTGCGCGACACCGGTCTTGCTGCGTGCGCATGCTGAACCGCGGTGCGATGATTTTGGTCCAACAACAACTGGGCTGCCCTCAGATCCCCCGCTAAAAGTCTAACTCTTAGTAGGTCAAATGGAAACTACCACTAAGCACTAAAAGGCTAAACAGCTCAGGAACCGGATGGCTGGGAGCCACAAAGACAAGGCAAACCAACGCGAACCGAAAAAAAACAACAAAAAAGCCACTGCAGCCAGCGGCAAGAGGCGCCTCGCCGGCACCTTGCGCTCCGCCGCGGCTTTCGCCGCGGGCTGCTCCGTGACTTTGGGCGCGCCGGCGGTGCCGAGGCGCGTGGCGAAGGCCGGCAGCGCCTTGCGGCTGGACGCATCCATGGCTATGCCTTTGGAGCTAGAAGTAATTCTCAAAGGTTGCATAACCTCCATTTGTGGACAAAGGTTGTATAACCTCCATTTGGGGATATATGTGTCCCCTGGAAAGGAGCAATACATATGTCCAGCATCGATAAATTCCCTTTAATATGAAGAGGCGAACAAATGGGAGATATTTTGATGAGGCCATGAGGGTCTGGCGGCTTTGAGGTAATTACCCCTTTAAGCTGGTTATCAGGGAAATCGAAAGGAACACCACATCTTCAGGGACCCCATGAAAAAGAAGACAGAGGCTTCACTGACCCGAGCAGCTCCGTTTACTTTCCCACATTCATGGACTTCCAAGGAAAGCTACGGACTAACAGGGCCCCCCCCCTCCCATAGCCCCCCTTGGAAGTCATTGAGAGGCGTATGTATTAAAGCGCGACGACGGCAACAAGATTTGAGCAGTTTGACTTTGAGAGGCCCGTTTCTGACCGCCGCGTTCATCCACCAGGCGAATCGAGCGGACCTGGTTAGCCTATGGCCCACTTTCATGGGAATCAGCGAAACCCAAATTCAAAACTCCCCGCCCTAAAAACATCCGTGCCATCTGTTCTTTCGCACGGCCACCAAAGGTCTGGACCCAGTTCGTGGGTACAGAGATGCAGTTGGGCCAGATTTGCTGGAAAACCCCTTTAAAGCCACCATTTGGATCTCATTTTTAATGGAGCCTCCTCAAATTGGGAGTATGCCCTCTTGGCTTCCCTTTAAAACCTTCCAAAATGGGGTTCCCAAAAAGAAGCACCCATTTGTACCGTTGCGGTTTGCTCATCTTAAGATACTTGGATAACCACCATATTTGGCAAGCGGTTTGTCATGCTAAGCAAGGCCTCGAGAATGCGTTAACATGGAGTCAATCCTACTTAGGGGGACTTACTCAGTTGGCTTTTTAATCAATTACTACTTGGGACGGACATTTAAACCTTACAGATCCGGATGCCTTCGACAGCCCATCCACAGCTTGAGGAATAAGCTTGAACACAAGGAATTGTAGGGTCGAGCGGAAAACACATCACAGATCACAGGTTTTCAGCCAATAATATTTCACTTCCAGAAGCTGGTGCCAAAACCGATACAGCACCCCAGCAATATTGTCCAATCAACTGGGTCCCGCCCCATCGCCTCTGCACATGGTTGTGGAACCTCACAGTTTCTGAAATACCGCTCGCAACTACTTAGTCACAGCTCAAGATCATTCCCTCGGTACAAACACGTGGCCCAAAGCCTGATCTCTCGCAACCGAGCCGCCCCCCAGGTTCCTGGACTCCGATCGAAGGGTGAATTCTTCTTTGGGTCTTGGTCCAACCCCTTACATCTTTAGACCATCTCACTTGCCTTGTCGGAGCCAAACATAGGTTGACCATTTGGGACCTTTGAAAGGTCAAAAGGCCGATTCGCTTTCAACAGCTGCGTTATATTCTTACAACCTGCTCCTGTGTCGCCTTTTGTGGGTACCTTATCCCTTGGACAAAAACACACACACACACACACACACACACACACACACACACACACACACACACACACACACACACACACACACACACACACACACACACACACACACACACACACACACACACACACACACACACACACACACACACACACACACACACACACACACACACACACACACACACACACACACACACACACACACACACACACACACACACACACACACACACACACACACACACACACACACACACACACACACACACACACACACACACACACACACACAATAAATGTTGAGTAGTCATAGATGACCTTCAAAACCAACAGCGGGAAATGAAATTGTTTCACCAAATTTGGCAAACCGGTGGTGCCCAACACTCCAAAGCTTCCGCCGGCTCGCAGCCTGCCTCGTCCTGCTGTTGGCTTTTCTCCTCCGCGCTTCCGGTTTCATCGGCACGCGGCAGGCGTGCCACCCACGCGGAATACTCCCAGCAGTTCACGGACGACAGGAGCCTGGAGTTCCACCAGGTCGGGGGGGGTGTTTCCTGGATCTAACAAATGGCTGTGGGTCAAAACCAATGGGATACCATTTTGGGGTAGGTGCACCACCCATTTTAGAACCTATTTTAGTGGGGATTGGGATGTTCACCAGGGGTACAGGGCTTTGACCCACAGCCAAATCTTTTCAGGACAAAGTGATGTGTAAACCAGCCCAAAGCGCATGTAGGGACCCTGGGTAAAACTCCAAATGCGCACTGGGGTGTGCACCCAGTGAGCCTCATTGGTCATGGCTCTGGACTCAGCACCCGGTTAAGGCTCGAGGCTAAGAGAATGAATACCTGTCTGGCGCCAACCAAGGGTCTATGCCGCGCTTTCCCTGAGCCCAGGGCTTCCAGGTAAGCCACTAGGTGACCAGCATTCTTACCTCTAGGTTTTAAGATGTTCAAACGTTCCCCTGGTTACGCACCTACTTTGGTGATAACTGGAAGCGCTGGGTGGGGGAATTGTGCTTGTAGAGTTGTGCCACCAACAGCACTCAGACCATATGAGCGCCCAAAAACCCGCTGAGATCGTGTAGGGATGAGCTCTTCGCTTGCAAAAGAGCGGCGTGAGGGAGGTGGCTCTGCGCTTGTGACGACTACCAACATGGCTATAGACGTTGCGTAGCCCTAAGCCAATTCCCAGTTGGTCGAACCCGTTTGAAGCGCCTAGCCCTTTTCAATGGAAACTCGCCAAGCAACAGTGGACATGGTCTGGGCAATTGCTACAGCAGGACCTAGTAACAGGTCCCTTGAAAGTGGGCAGCTTAGGGCTCTCTTAAGGGCTACATTAAAACTTGCATAAGGCCAGCCATGTTTTTCACTTCAGTCAGTTTGTGGTTGGTAAGTTTAGAAAGTTTCCAAAGCCCTTGAGAGGAATCAAAGCTGCCTCCCCCAGTCCTGTGTCAAGGGCGTGGAACCACTGTTCCTTTCTGTTTCCAGAAAGAATAATAAAGCAAACAAACTCATAGAAAAAACAAATGAGATAATCTGTCCACCCATCTAAAAGAAGAACAACAACTTTAGACCCCATCGCAAGGGGAAAATCATTTGGTGCCACTGAGGAACTAGCTTGTTACTTGCTCACTTGCCCTTTCACGACCTGGAAGTAAAAGCGACCACCTTTTGGGACCAAAGACCTGTCACGTGGGAAAACTTCAAAGATCACACGGTTGATCCGTTTTGGAGAAACCCTTGGGGCTTCTTCCCTCCAGGCTGCTTTTTAGCCCGGATGGTTTCCCATGGTTACCCACAAGAGGTTCTGCGGTTTTGACGGACCTGGTTGCAAAGAAGGCAGACCTTTTGGGACGTAAATGGCTGCCAACAAGGGAAATCCAACACTGAGTGGTTCAGAAGTGACTCAAAGTGGATCTTGGATGTTGGTTCGGACTCAAAGTGGATAGTGACTCGGAACCCAACACAATGTTAGTGGCTCAAAGGCACAAAATTTGTGGATCTGTGACAAGTCTCAAGCTCTAAACAGCAAGTCAAAAGTCCAAGAGCTCAGGAAGTGAGTCACCTGAGATAGGATTGAACCAGCTCCTGCAGAGGGGAACCCTTGTTGGAAGGTTAAATTTGGGAAACCAAAAGACAAATAAGCACGTGGAATCCCAATTGGAGCGAGATTGATTTCGGGACCCCTTGGTGAACATCATGTGGAAGGGGATGCATGTCCAGCAGACACATTCCCTATTAGAACATTATGATGTAGCTTCTATTGAGGGAACCCTCAGGGTGTTCTTTTGGTCTCCCTTTCAAACAGCCACAAAAGAGGCACCCTATGGAAATTCGTACCATGGTGTGTCATTTTTGGAGGTTGGTACTCTTTGCTTGTGGTTCTTAGGCAAACCAAGGGGAAAGCCGTTTCGCCGCTTTGGGCGGTCCCCTATGGAAATTTGGATCTTCCCTCGCCTCGGGTCCACTTTCTTGCGCACTGCTTCGGCGAGCGGAGCTCCCAGCGGTACCACGGCAGCGAGGGCCCCCACATCGCCCACCACCTCCACTGCCTTGACGAAATGGCGACTTTCTTTCAAGCAACGTCGATCTAATTGTTGAACAGCCCCTACACTTGGGCACCGACAACAATCAAAACCCGGGCAGATAGCGGGTACTTCAGGGACAGCCCTCGAGTTCCCTCACCTGCCCTGAAGCACCCAGAAAGAAAAGGTCAACCTTTTGGGGTCGTGACAAAAACAAATTGACCAAACAATGGACACCAAAACGTCGAAAGATTGCTTCGCCTTGGGCCAGTGAGCCTCGGTGGCTTGGGATTTTCCGTACATTTTGTCCGTGGCTAGATGCCCAGTGGCCATGATAAAAAAGGGCACCCTTTTTTCGTTGGTTGAGTCGTTGGTTGAGCCCTAACCCCAAAAAAAAGGAAAAGGGTACCACTGGGCAACAGGGCTCAGCTCAACCCAAAACGTATTTTTTCACTGGCAAGGTTAGCTCCAAGCCATATTATGGCCATGAGTCGGGACTGTCACAAGCCACGGCAAGTCCCTGCGTGGGTTGCAACAAGCGATTCGTCCTGGATCTGAGTAGCGGGGGTTCCCGCAAAACAGGATGAATTCTCTCCCTCACCTTGCGAGGTGGGTGCAGGCAAGTCCCATGGTGCTGGGATCCTTAGGGCGCAGCAAGTTGACGATTTTTTTGGTGTTAAGTGGGCTCCCACAAATGGAGTCCTTGCGGATGACAAACACATTGTCCCTTGGCGCAAGGGTTCGGAACATGTCTAGAAGGGTGCCCTGAGTTGGCTGTAAGCCAGAATGAAGGAATGCCAACGGGCCGTTGCAGGGGCAGAAAGGCAAATGCAAAAAGTCTGGCAATTTCTCAGAGGGTAGTCCCAGAATGGAAAACAGATCTCTCTTGTTTCGGGGACCACTTTTTAGGCTTTTAAAGGGGTACTCCAAGATAAGCCATCCAGCAAATTGTGGCCAAAGCAGACTTAGCCAAAGGCCACTGAACGATCATCTGAAAACCCACTGATGCTACCTCAGCCTCACCCCCCCCCAATAAAATCACAATTTGATTGGTTCAATGAGTCCAGGGAAGCTCGCCGAGGTGGTATCCCGTGTCCTGCAAAACCTTATCATTGTTATTTTGATCCTTGTCGTAGTCCTTTTGTTCCTTCTCGTGGTTCGCCCTTACTATCAGGAAAACCTTCCCTTAGCCTCCGAACCCCCAGAGCGACCCTATCTGGGAGACCTCAAAGCTTTCAGGGGAGCGGGGGTTTGAGTCTCCGGTCCGAACATAGCGAACCTCAAACGATAGCATCATCTCGAAAGAGCAGTTAGGATAGATCTGAGGGAAGTTAGACATCTCCTCCCAGGTCCCCACACCTCAGGCTCAGAGTCGTTCGTCTTCAGCAGTGCCACGCGCGTCGGCATGGAGGATCCTCAGTCCCAACCCCGAGCCCACAGTGGCCATGATCGAAAAAAAATCTCAGGCAGGGCGCCACTGGGCAAATCCCCACCCCAAACAGGAAATCAGTTGGGGGGCTGGGTTATGAAACTGCGATTCCTCACAAGCATCCCAACACCCTGAAGTTTGGCATCAACTCACTTCCGGAGTAGATTGGCCACACCAAAAGCCCAAAAGACTTTGTATTTACCACTAAAATGGCCCAAACCCAACTTTGTGACTCTTCGGTCAACCAAAACGGAGCCCGGGCAGTGCGTCACGCCCAAAGCGCGCGGCTCCCGCCTGGGTCCTTGGCGTCGCGGAGTCGGCCCGGCGGCGCCAGCTGGCCCAAGGTGTGCTTCCCGAAGTCCCGGCTCCGCAGGAAGACGCGGGGCCGGAACCTCGTCTTTGCACATAACCAGAGAGCAGAGCAAGGCGGAAATATACGGGTGATGGGGGAAACCAGAGGTAAACCAGGGGGGAAAAAGGGATTCAGCTGTTCTTTTTTGCCCTTCATTTGGGGGGGGGAAAAGCTTAGGGATCTCCACAATAAGGGGTTTGGACCTGAAAACATATGTTTTTGACGACCCATGACTCTTAGGGTCAAAGCCACAACTTCCTCCCAGATGCGAAAAAACACGTTGATTGTCCCGTGCAAGCGATCGGAGCCCGTTTTGGGGCCCTTGCTACCCTTTGAGGATGTTGCATGTTGGTTTGGATAAGGTGCGGGTTGTTCCCCTCGCTAAGCCTTTCGCCGGTGTATCCACCGGGGCTCCCTATCTTTTGCCCTCAAACATCACCTTCGGCATCTGGAAGTGGAACCCAGGAAGCGTCGTGGACACCACGGAAGCGTCGGAAGCGTGGAGGGAAACCGAACCGAACCGAACCATTGCGCCCGAATCGAAACAAATCGAAACGAATCGGGGCATTCATGACGTTTGGCCATTGTTCATCGTTCTGGTGGGTCACGTTTCAAGGGCAAGTATGGGTGTGAGGGGACCCCCAAAATGTTGAATGGATGTTCAAGGCAAACCTGAAGGCAAACAGAGGAAGATCTTGCTGGTCAAGGAATCCTTGAATGAGCCGAAAATAGGTTGAAACTCGACAAAGTCAGCCAAGCGACCCTGTCAGAGAACGGGAACTAACTAACTATATATATATATATATTTGTGGGGACCATGTCCAGTGGAGAACGCGCCTCCATTCTCCAAAGAGGTAAGTTTGGTTGCTGACAAAACCCTGGTTGACATGTCATGTCCTGTCAACTCATAACCCAAATACAAATGATTGATTCTGGCCCATGTGTTGCCTAGTGCTTCCAGGCAAGCCACTATAGTAGGCAGCCAGGGGAAACTATCTGGAGGTCAGAAACCCGAAAGCTTATTTGTCGAAACGCCTGGAAGCTCTGGGCTACACTTCTTGGATCTGGTTTTGGGGCCCACCGTTCCAGGCAGTCCTGATTGGCCATGCAACCGGTGGCCCTGCGATTCTTAAACGCACTGATCCCAGTCTCCGCCAGGATGCTGGATGCAGAAGTTGCTCCATACCAGGTCGGCACTCACCTAGGGTCAAATGTGTGGACCTGCAAAACGTGAGCATTTGACCCAAAAGGGTGGCTCAAAAAATAGCATTCGGTCCCCTGAGATCTGTTGGCCTCCTTTTGATTTACCTTTAAGCACCAACTCAAGAACAGTCCACAATTTCGAGACACTCCCGAAAGGGAGAAAAGGGCAAGGGGTTCGTGACGCCTGTCAAAGATACCCGTCGTGGTGGAACCCAACCTCCATTGCATCCAACCTGTCGTTTTTCCAGGCTCAAAGCCCCCAAGTTCACATTGGCCTTTCCGGTGTGACCCAACAGGCAACATCCGGTAGAGGAACCTCACAATAAAAGGAAAAACTTTCGGGGACTGGATTCATGGACCAGAACAGCTTTCGAGTGAGTCTCCCGGAGAAGAAACACCTGACTTCATGGACAGTTTCCCTTTGGCTTCACAGTTACACCAACCCACAAGCTTAAGGTTAACACCCAAAAACAAACACCCGCCGAATGAAGCCAACATGACGCCAACATGAGTCGTCGAATCCCATCTGCAAAGTGTTCCTGTCTTCAAACAAACCCGCAAACACTTGCAATGGTACATACTATCATGACGACTGATGCTGCAGAGTCTCCAAAAAACAGGAGCCCTTATGAACAGTGAGAAAAGAACAAAAGAGTCCCTAAGAGATGGCCACCGAGGAAATGCTTGTTGAAAGGTTACTGATCAAGTTCCCTCTCCAGAACAACTAGGTCCTCCAGTAGAGAGGTTAGAATAAGGGTACCCTTTTTTCTGTTGTCCATTTTAGCAGGGGAACCCTCCCCCAAAAAAGGGTAAAAGGGCAGCGACCAAAAAGTCTCGACAGCTTGGTTTGCCACGTGGTCCAAACCCAAAAAGTGGCTCAAGGCCAGGATATGGGGAAGCTGTGACTTAAGTGACTCAAGTTCTCACTTCTCGCGTCCAGAAAATTGGGAAGTGAGAACGTGCCATGGTCCGGACTCAGGTTCTCGCACAAGTGGCCAGGTGATGGGCGCATGCCGCCTGGAGTACTGCCAGCTGCGTCCAAGTCATGCACGCGCCGTGGTGGAGTTGCGACAGCCGCAGCGGCCTTCGAAAGAACATCGTGGGATAGCCTTTGATATCAAATAGGAACTTAGTGTTTTGCTGATCCCTTGCAGATGGGTAGGATTGCTTAGTGGCATATGATATTATACGTCGGAAATCCAACTCTAAAAACAAAGCCTTTTCGTCCAGGGAACCGTATGGCCTGCAACCAGATTTAGAACTCTGGTCCAACAGTTCAGAGATGTAGCAGAGATGAATAATCCGAACAAAAAATGTCCTGTACTTGAAGCTGATACAATTCATACACCAAGTGGATAATGGTGGCTATATATTAATTCATCCTGTATCGCCTCGAAGTGGCAAACATGAGAAACCGACATGGAACCCTCGCCTCGCAAGGAGCGTCTGTGTACATGTCATTAACCCCCCTCAGAACGAAAAAAGAAAGAGAAAAACGGTCAGCGGTGCTCCCCTGTGGCGACCAATGTGCTTAGACTTTGTGTCGGGCGTGGATTCAACATCAAAAGGGCCACCTCACTTGTTTCCCTTTTTTTTCTCCGGGGGGTCAACACTAGAGGCAGCGGTTAAGGAGCCTGCAGGGAGAAACACATATTGAGTAAACCATAGACAAACTGGACATTTCGACCGAACCTCAAGCAGCCTGCCAAAGGGACAATAAACCCCTAGTCAAATGCTGGACATAAATGCCTCTTAGATGGTTGGTGGACAAAACAAAGTCTCCATTGATGTCCACCAAACACAAAATCCGCCGCTCACTGGGTGTCCCCCAGTTTGATGCGCAATACTTTACCAAGCCCCCCTCCCCCCCCCAGTTTCCTTCACTGATGGCTTCTCAAAGAAACTCATCAACAACAGCCACCCCGAATTTTCGATCTGATCTCACCTTGTTGGGGCCACCACTCAACTGGAAGCCATGGTGGAGACCTTTTGAGGTCCGATTAGATCCTTCCGATCCAGTGACGCCATTGAGTTCCGGAACTCGCCTTACAAGTCGCTAGCACCTTCCTACAAGGGAGCGGAAAAACCACAAACTTGCTCGATTGAGCACTAAAAATGGTGCAACCCCCCAAAAGTCCGACTGCACTCCGTTTTGGGAAAGCCGGTCACCTGCTCGATTTAGCACTAGACATGTTCCGAACGCCTCCCAAAGTCCGACTGCAGTCAAACTAGGTTGTCTATTCTAGTAGGGGAACCCTCCCCCAAAAAAAGGGTAAAAGGGCACTGCAGTTCCAGAAGCCGTTTGGGGGACCTCGACTGAGCCAGTGACCTCTGCCACCCGTTTGAGCCGTGCCCTGCGGCGGGCCTCCTGGCCCAGTTAGAGCCCTCCTCCTCTGTGCAGAGGCGGCCCAAACAGCGCTGGCAGATCCTCGGCCAGTCCTCGCCAGTCGAAACCCTTGTGGGGACCAGCAAAAACAGGCGAGTCACAATCGAAACGTATTTCCATGGTCTACCCAGAACCATGTAAAGAATTAAGAATGCGGCCGCAACTATTTCTGGCTGGGACTGTCCCTTACTAATCTTCATCTACCCGGGTGTTGATTGTGGCTCAGGTGTTTCGTAGACTTGCTCCCTTTCTCTTCGGGATGGTCGAGAGATGAAGCGAACCGAAACGAGATTGCGTCCACCTTTTGGTGGTTGGAATATGTTTTACCCCCTAGGCAAAACAAATGGAGGCCGTTGGAACAGTTTGGCGGTTTACATGCTCAAACCTTGGCCCAACTGTGGGCCACACAACACAAAACATACATGTCCGGCTTCTGTGTCATTATGTGATCCACCCTAAAATGTGAAACATCTGCTCGGAGACCCCCAAACATGCTTGTTTTCCCGGCGGTCGCCCGAGGGTCCTTGCCCAGGAAGGACAGCACTTTGGTGTCCACCACCTTAGGCCGCTTTCTGTCCCGATGAACATGGGGCTTACAGAAGGCACCTGTGGGAGGGCACCTGGAAGATGTTCCCCGGGGTTTTGGGAGTGGTGAGGAACTTTCCTGGCACGAGTGCCAGTTGCCATGGTAGTTTGAGGGAGGGTACCTGGGAAGAAAGCCCTCTTCCCAACCCAGCTCCATGGAGTCACAGGGAGGGTACTTGATGGGTTTTTCAGGGAAAGATAGCCAAAGAAACATGGAACCACAAAAACGCTTCATGAATAAGATTAGTTTCTTGTTGGGATAGCCCCCTGTTTGGGTTCCATGTTGAGTAGTTGGATTGGCTTTCAAGGGAAAGGAACCTTTCTGCTTATTCTGGGGCGTAATTCAAGGTGGAACCCAAACACAGGGTCCATCTCCGAAATGGAGATCTATGCCAAAAGGGCTCTGCCGGGAAGGGGGGGGGTCTTGCTAGATTGCGGGGAGTATTTAGCTGGATGGGCTTTGACGGGAAGCCTAATTGTTGGTGCATTGGCCCCTTCTGAAAGTTAAACATTTTGCGGATACGATACAACATGTTGCAACATGTGGGATCCCGTGTCCCACGTTACCACAAAATTTAGAGCGCTATCCTCTCTCTCTTTCCCTCTCTTTGCTGGGTCCGACTTTCAACAAGACCAGTTGCTTCAAAGTCTATTTATAGGCTCATCCGGAGAATGGGAACCCAGGTATAGAGGTATATGGTGAATGCCTAAGTCGCCCAATTTGGCAACTTGTGTTTGCCGGGCGATACAATTGTAAACAGCCATATTTAGCAAGGAGGTCGTTGGGACTGTTCCATGCTTATCCCGACTCAAATGGTCAGGCGAGCTTATGTTTTGCTTTCTTACCACCACCAATGTAATCTGTAAGCGCAAGCTTGTGACCGCCGCTACCACTGACCCCATCATGATTGATGATTGCAAAAAAAGTCATGGGAAACTGAGCGACATTGGCTACCAAAAGTGATGGTATCACCAACCAGTAAACAAACAAAGCAAATCCGGGTGTCTCAATGTGAGGCCTTCGTGGATGTATATAGTGGTGCCCTTGTTCAATGTTCGAATCGGTACGCTCGTGATTTGCCCAGAACGATGAAGCAACCAATAATTTCAATACAAGCTTAAAGCTCGCCGACCAAAGAGAGAGAGAGAGATCGGGGATCAGGTTGGTCGCAACATGTCTGGGCAAAGGGACCGAGCAAATGGCGGTTTAAGCCATGGTAAGGGGTTGAATCGCCGAACCCAAACAAATGCCAACCTACTTCATAACGCAATTTCCGTTGCTACCGACAACATGTTCGCATACAGAGGTAAGCACCAAGACCTAAGCCCTCTTGACAGGTATTTAAGTGCCAGTATGAATATCAAGCTGGATCCTTCTGTCAAATCAGCCTAAGGTTGGGGTGGGCTTTTTCCTTTTGCTCCCAGACGCCCAGTGGCCATACAAAACGGGGCACTCTTGCTTAGCTGATTCTAAAGAGACACCCCCTCCAACAAAGGGAGACTAGGAAGCAACCACCAGGAGGTCTGGGTTCTTGCGTCCCCTACCGCCCCTAGGTCCTGCAGTAGAGGTTAGAATAAGGGTACCCTTTTTGCTATAGTCTATGTTAGTAGGGGAACCCTCCCCCCAAGAAGTACTGGGGGACCTAGCCCCGGTCTCCGATTTTCGCCAAGGCGCTGGGCCCAGGGCCTCCCGGTCGTTGCTGCGCAGCGGCAGCGCGATGCCGAGGCTCAGCTCCACCGCCACGTCGATGACTTCCTCCATGCCACCCCAGACCTCAGCACTGCCCTTTACCCCGAGGCGCGCGCGGCGCTTGGCCGCGCGCCACGGGAAAATCAAAGAGGGCAACCTGAGCTTTCCGGGCTGTCCTCAGATCCCCCGCTAAAAGCGACTAACTTTTAGTGGGCTAAATGGAAACCCAACCACTAAACACGAAAAAGGGAAAAAAACTGAAGAAGTGGATGGCTGGGAGCCACCAAGGTAAATGGAACGAAACCCATGCAAACCAGTGCCATCTGATGAATCTATTTTCAACCAGGCTCACCTAAAAAAAACACCTATGACCTCAGCGCTTCGCGTCGATTTTTGCTGCCCTTTACCCCGAGGCGCACCAAGCGGGCGCGCCACGGGAAGAAAGAAGGGCAACCTGAGTTTTTCTGGGCTGTCCTCAGATCCCAGCTAAAAGTTTAACTTTTAGTGGGTTAAATGGAAATCCCCACTAAACACTAAAAGGCAGAAAAGCTAAGGGGATGGCTGGGAACCACCAAGCTTTCTTCGGGGTGCAAGCGGTTTCCCTGGGTCGCATAGCCAAGATGCAACGAAAAGAACTCACCCCGAGCTGAAAGAAAAACTGATGATGACCGTTGGGAAGCCTTTTCCAAAAGTGATCACCATTGGGAAACGTTTTCCAAAAGTGGCTGCCAAAAGGGGGAAACAAACAGGGTAAAAGGTCGGCTTCTAACTTCTGAGACTGGAGTATGCAAGCCTTCGGGTTTCTAGCCTCAGTTTTTCCATGACGGTTTCCACTGGTTGCCGATAGGGTCTGCCCTGTCAGACCTTGGACGCAAGATGGCTGCAAACGTGTTGGTTCGGAACTTCATGGCTAAAAGTTACATAATTCGTGGATCTGTGATAAGTCCCAAGCTCTAAACATCCAAAAGTCCGCGGGTATGTAAACCTTCAAGCAATCTAAATTGCCAAAGCCGGGCAATATGCATAAAATCGCCAGGCACCCGCTGGCGGGTGGGTACTAGGCATTCTTGCTTTTTGAGGCTTGGTACCCTGTTTTGGGCTGGCCTTCTACAAAGGATCCCAAACATACTGGTTTGCCTGTTGGCTCCCCTGCAAAACCAACCACAACCCCCTTTGTGGATCCAATCGTCAACCCAAAATTCGATCTCGGCCATAGGATCCGTCTCAACATAACATAAGACTCTAAGAAAATCTTAGGTTCAAGAGTTGGGGTTGGGGTCGAGCTCTATTCTCTGAGTTGTTCCCTCCGTTATCTAGGCTGTTCAAAGGTAATTCTACCTTGCGTAAAGGGGTGTGTAATTTGTTTCCATGGGGGGGATTACGGATGAGGATTGGCCAACCCGTCATATTGAACAGTCCAGAGAATATATGTTGTATTCCCCCCTGTTGGTTTGAAAGGGAATCTATCACCTCTGTTTGCTTTTGTGGGGATTTAAGCAAATCGAAGTTGCCCTTGACTGCCGGCTGAGTTGGCAAACTTTAGGCGTTTTGGTTGTCCATCATTTTAGGTCAAACAATAGAGGGGCTCTACTTGAGCTTCATGCACATGAGTGTGTATTTTCGAGAGCTATCCTTTTTGGGCGCAACTGGGAACAATAGGAAACCCAGCAAATTTGAGGGTCCCCTAGTTGGGGTGGTCAGAGTGTCCTAAGAATGACAGACCGGTGGTACTGGTGTGTGGTGGGCAATATCAAGGCACGGTGGAAAGGGAAGCGGTGCGGTGCAAACTGTTTCCCTCACCCAGAAAACTTCAGAAACTGGCCAAAGTCCCAGCAGGGAAAATCGGCGGTTTCTGACAAGAACGGCGGGGAAACAGAAGGCGGAACAAACACTCTGGGAACATTGCAGTTGTGACCAAAACTCCCTGTCAGGATTTGTTGGACACAATTTTAGGCTTTTCCATCATTCAACCTACAACAGGCGATCAACCTTCTGCTCGTTCAGATCAAATCCTTAGGTATTTGGTAAAAAAATGATCACGACATGTTCCGAATGATTCAGAATCCACCTACTGACCGATCATTCAACTGACCGAGCGGTCAGAAGTTGGAATCGGCAATGTCGGGTGCCAACCGAGCGATCCCTTCGTCCACGGCGCCACCTTCAGCACCTTGGGTGCTGAGAGCAGCGCCCGCAGGCGCTGCGCCGCCTCAACGGGTCCGGGCTCATGGGTCTTGGGTTCTGGTTGGCTTGGGTGTTCCTCTCGGGGTTTGGAAGTTTCTATCTTTCCAGGAAGCACAAAGGCAAAAGAAGAAACCAAATTGCAAATCTGGCAATGTCGAAAGGGGAACCTTTGCTTACGAGCCCAACGAACCTGGAAATGGACACCTTGTCCAGGCCAACCAAATAGAATATCGAAACTTTTTTTTGCCCAACACTGGATTACACCAAAGAATATGTTCAATATTATGCTTTAAAGCTAGTCTAACCCAAAACATAACATAATTTGCAGACGCCAGTATAGTAGGTAACAGCAGGCCTCGCCTCCAGGCTTTGCCATACTTGGTTTCCCTGGTTGCCTCCTACCTACTACTACTACTACTACTACTGCTGCTGCTGCTGCTGCTACTACTACTACTACTACTACTACTTCTACTTCTACTTCTACTTCTACTGCAACTACAACTTCTACTGCTACTACGTTCTAATACAATATGATTTCCAAAACCATCAAACAGGGAAATATGCATATCTCTCAAAGCGGACGCCCAAATCTGGTCGGCTTCTTTTTGGTGTCCATTAGAACAAGAGGGGCTTCTCCTTTCGGATCGGACCTGTATAAGGGCTCATTATTCCGGTCTGAGAGCCTTTCTAAAATCTAACAACCTCAGACAAAGCTCCTAAGAACCCTTGGGTTGTTGAATTGCTGGGGGCGGGTAGATTTGCCCCCCGCTAGGGAACCTACCCGCTCTGCTCCGGTCCGTCCTGCGGCCACGCGTTCGGCCCAGCCGAAGGGTCGCAGGCGCGGAGCTTGGGGAGGTCGAAGAGCTCCGCGTGCTGGGCGCTGCAGAGCCTCGGGCTTCGGAGTCCAACACCGGAAAATCCCCCGTGGCTACCAAGCATGGCTATTCAGGTTATCTGGGTGCTTAGCAAGGAATGATAAATGGAATGAGCTTGGGGATTCCCTTAAAAGAAGCCACGAGGAATAGGTTACAAGAGTCATTCCCTCCTTGCTGAGCGCCAGCAAGTCAAAGGTTAACCAGCCAATAGCAACCCATAGGCAACCAGGGATCCATGGCAAAACCCAGGGAAGAAACCTTGGTCACCTACTCAGTTGCCCCAACAGACCCGGATTCAAAGGTAATCACCTCTTGGGTTGCCAGGACTACAAATGAACAGGGGAAACCAAAAGGTCAGGTTCGGTCGATTCGCCTTGGGCAACTGAAGCTTAGGCAGAGCTGAGTGCATCTCTGAAGGACACACGAGCAAGTGGATCAGCAAGTCCAAGCTTGCGGTTTGCCCTTAAATGACCTTTTGCATGTATAACTTCCAGCAACTACGGAATTGAGTGGAAAGCAGCTTCTTCTTTTCTCTTTTTTTTGGGGGGGGCGGGTTCGACTGAATGCCATGTTTGATTGGGTTGAACGTGCTTTGGTTTGATTTGTGTAGTGTGTGGGACTATTGGTCGGTTTGTTGTGGAGAGTTGTTGGGTCTATTGGTCGCTTTGGCTTTGTGCGGCCCTTGGGGCCATTAGCAGGGTGTTGGCAACAACTAGCTTCGTAATCTAAACTTGCCTGTATTCAGGTTTCTATGTGCTTGGATTGGCTCCCTTTGAGATTCATAGCCATATGGTTGCCTTGTTTCACGTAAGTACCTTGTTGGGCGTGTGCTTCAAAGGAAAACGCCAGGCGGTGTTAAAGGCTGGGCCAACTTGTTGTGTGAATTTTGCCCGAAGTCTCTCAATCTTGCTACCTTGGTGTGTTTTTTGATCCATGTGTGTTTATCATGTTCAAAAATATTATTTGTCTCTTGGTTTTGAAAGGGCAGTTCCCTTGATCACCTGCAAAAAACAAAAACGGGGGAGTCTTTTGCTTGAGTTGGGAGCGCAGTAAACCCGGCCCTCTTCCCAGGGGGAGTCCATTAAAGCAAGACTCGGAATGGGCATGCTTTGTTTTAGGGGACCCCGCAAGACTGCGATTGTTCTTTTGGTGTTCCTCTCAAAAGAGTTGCAACAAGTTCGACCTGAAAAAGACAAACCCAAATGGATGTTAAGAAGAAAACCAGCCCCTCAAGAGTACATTTGAGATCCCCTCAAAATGCAACCACTTGAATGGACCCTCGGGCAAGGTGGTGATTGGTTCTTCCCAGATGGATTTCATTTTAAACCTTGGCGCTCCCCTAAGGAAACTAGTCTACCTTGGTGTGTATCATGCATGCCATCTACGTGAAAACCTACAGGAAGTTAGGCCAAATCCCTCTTGTTATTGGGCTTTTGTGATTTCTTCCTTGTACAACTTCCTGTGGCTGGGGGTACCCTTCTTCAAACAATCATGGAAGTGAACAAGGGCCCTCCTCAAGAGGATGCTCTGCCAAAGCCAGGTAATCGGGCCTACACAAACAGGAATGATTCGGATTGTGGGATACTTAAAAGCTAATTATACGTCATGATCCTAGGTGATTCCGCCCCTAGCATGAATCAATCACTGTAAGAGGGCTCCCTATACTTCCCCTGAAACATCAAACCGCTAAAAGGAAACTCATTTTAGATTGCCCTAACAGGTGATGTTTATAGCAACCAATGGGAAAGGGAACCCTGTGGACGCCTAGGTCATTCTTAGATTCAAGACCAAGGCGCACCAGCAAGCTTCCAGGCCGGTGCCAAAAGGGCGCCTCTTCCCCTGAGAGTCAGACGTTCCAAACGTCCCCCTTTTTTGTGTGACCTGTTGTAGGTAAGGGTTTTCTTACCAGGTTTGACATGAAGTTAATCTCGTTCAGGGTATAACCCCAGAAAGCTTATGTCCCCATTTAGAAGTTGGGAAGTGTATATCTCCACGCTTGCCGACCTACAGGAAAGCAGAACCGCCGCCAAAGCTCTTCGTGGATCCTTGATGCACCTCAAAAAGTGAGCTGTGTGTGGGACGTCACGAATTCCTCCGCTTACCCTCAGCAACCCGATTGCAACCTGTGACCTAAACGGCAGGAAGAAAGAACCGTGCTTGGGGTTGACTATTTGTAGAAGGCGCCCACCAAACCAAAAGGATCAAAGGCATGACTGAACAACTGCGTTCATGAAAGAAGAATAATAGTAATAAGAAGAAGAAGAAGTACCAAACCACGTGGGTCTAGCATTGAATTGGCTGCATCCTTTGGCGGGCATCATTTACATGCGGTCCTGGTCCACCAACCAGTCTTGATGGGTACTTTTCATTGAAATGCATAGGTATGTGGATGTATGTGGGTAGTTAGCCAAGGCTACGCCTTTTGGGGTTGTTTCACAGGGAAATCAAAAACAACTATGCTGGGAGTCGCTACCGTTGCTATTGGACACCCCTTGCTTGGCCTTAGAGGAAATCAATCGAAACCGTGTTTGAACAGCGCGAAGTCTTGGTTTCAACACCCGTGAGCTGTTGCGAATCACAGAAATGTCTAGAGTCTAGCCATTCAGATTTTGTACCCGAACTGGGCCCTTATCAGCTCAAAGAGAAAAATAACACAACGAACACATTGTCTTAGGTGGATAGGCCATCACTTTGGTCAAGAGCAACCATGTAAGATGGTACCAAACCTTAACCCATAAATCTGGGAAATGAAGGTAGACCCGCCAGGAATCGTCAGCCGGTAGTCCTTGACATACGGAACTGAGTTTGTTTGTCGTTCCACACAAAAGTCCGGGTCCGATTCGCCTTCCGCCCGCCCAACCCGAAGCCGAAAGCCGAAGGTCGCGTCGAAGAACCCGAGGCGCGGAAGAGCTGCAGCGCGAGGATGTCCGCGGTCTCCAGGCGGTCGCAGGCGGCCAAGACGGCCTCTGGGGAGGTGCAGAGGCCACCAAAGTGGCAGGGCAGCAGAAAGCCTCGGACGCACAGGTCATGGACTGGGCCGACTTTTGCCACAAGTGACGAAAGGTAAACCCCGTCAACCCCGTCAGCTCCCCTCCAAGAGGTAGGACAAAGGTATACCCCCAGTTGGTGATCTTGTCGGCGCTTGGTTCATTTTTTGGAGAACAAAAGGTTGAAGCATCAGGGGACCTGCTGACGATGGTTGTTGGGCTTGTTTTCAGAGGTTTCAGGAGGACTGTAGCATGCAAAGGTGGTTTTGAGAGATTATTTCCTGGGAAGTGGGCTTTTGCAGGGTTCAAAGGGGTTGAAGTACCTTCTTAAAATAGCCTTTGAGAAGCTTGGAGACCAAAAAGAACCTTTGAGGATGGGCTCTGGGAGGCTTCTGGAAGGATTCACCCGATGAGAATTCTTTGTCCGAGGGGGATAGTTGTTTCATCAAAAGGTTTCGGATTTACATCTGTCCTACCAACATCGATTGAATCAAGAACAAAGATGTAATTAAGATGGACTAAACGTTGACACAGTTGAGGATTTGTTGGGCGCTTAGGGGGGGTTGATGTGCTTCTACACTCCCAGGGCGGGTGGGTCCCCCTTCAAGTTTAAGGATTGTTTGGGGGTTAAGCGGTTAGACGGGGTTGAAGGGTGCAAATACCGGGGGTTTCAATTCACACCTCTTCAGAATGTTGCGTTTTTGCTCAAGGGGGGTTGCAACTTCTCAGGAGCGGGTTGCACCTTCTCAAGCCGCTTCTTCGCTTTTTTGCCCCCCACCAAAACAGCATCTTTCCTTGAACCATCTCTCCACAATTTCCTTTGAGAGTGGGCTTTTGAGGTGCTAAATGGAGTAGTAGAAGGCCAACGGCTTCCTGAGTGGATTGGGACAGCCCAATTGTTTTGCTTCCAACTAAAGTGGTCTTCCCGAACAGTGCCTAAAGTCCACGAACTCATGGAGTGAGACAACAGAACGACAACACAAACAACCAACCAACTAAACCAAAACAACATACACCAACCACGAAACAAAGCAACCGCCCCGCGTAAGCAACGGCGCCCCATACACAAACAACACAAAACAACAACCACCAACCAACCAAGCCACACCAAACCACACCAAACCAAACCAAGCACCAACCAACCAAGCCACATCAAGCAACACCAAACAAAACCACACCAAACCAACTCAAGCACAAGCCAAAGCCGTCCCCTCCGCGCCTGCGGAGGTCACGGGGCCAAAGACGCTGAAGGCGTTGCCCCCGTCGTCCGCCAGCGCGAGGACTTGTTGCAGGCGGTCCATCTCCACGTCTCCGGAGAGGACCTGAAGCTCGGTGGAAGCCCTGCGGATTTGTGTGCAACCCCTTGCCAGGAATATTTGCTCTTTTCTCTTGTTGTTGTCTTTTTCTTCATTTTTTTTCTGGGGGGGGGGGGCAAACAAACTTGGATGTGTTTCTTTCGTTTAAGGATGGGCTGGCTTGCAAAGCCAGACAATTGGAGATAGACGGGGTGTGTCCCAAAATGGGGGGGCCCGGTTCTCCCAATTACTTTTCCGCAACAACCATCCCAAAAAGGGTACCCTAAAGAAAGACACACCCACTACTGGTTCTCCACCTTCTAGGGGTGCTTGTCAAGTGCTTGGTGCTGGGTGGTTGTTTTATTGAAAATCGATTTCCCGGAGGCGTTGGGTGGTTGAGTGGCAGGATTTTGCAAGGTTCTTGTGTGTGGCGAAGTTGCTGGAGGTGCTGAAGCAATTTTGCACTTGGCTGTGGGTAAAAAATAGGTACCCAAAATGGAACCCTAAAGGGAAACATGGATGAACATCTGCGATGCTTTGGTTTAATTTTGACCCATACCCATTTGTTCTAGAAGATGCTTGGGGCAATCTTGGAGTTTAGCATCCAGAAATTTCCGGAATCACTTCCAACCTCCGGAGGTCTCAGTGCACGCTACGCGTTTTGGTCCAGAGCTGGCCATTCCGGCTGAGGTCTTGGCGGCCTTTTGTTTGGGCTTTCTGGTGGTTTTGGACAGTGGAATGCCATTTCCGGTGGTTGAAGTAGCTATTGTGTGGATTGTGTAGTTGTCATGGTCTGAGGTGTTGGTAACTTTGGTCTTGGACAAACGGGTGGCTTTGGGAGGGTTGGCAATGTTCTGAAACAAAGTGGACATCATGAAGAATATACAGCTAAAATAGTAAACTTGAATTGAATGACACTTCATGATTGTGGGAAATGCCCACTTCTACGCTACCAATTGGAAACGCTCCCAATGACACATCATCTCTTTCGAGGAGTGGGCTCCCCCGATATCGCAAAACACACCTCCCCTTGTTCCGACAAACCTGTGTCGTGCTCCTGCCATCAGCTTGAAATGTCTCTCAACCTGACCAAAAAAATAACGGGCTCAACGTGCCCTTGCAGTAGGTACTGGTGATATATGCCCCCAGGTAGAACAGATAAACCCTTGTTAAACGTGGAAAAGTGAGCGCGGGCAAGTCCCCTGCAAATATGGCCACACATGACAACCGTGACAAGCTCAAACTCACCACGGAGAATCTCGTTGAGTGAAGAACAATAGGAAGCCTCCCGGAGTGAAACCTTGCAAATGAGCCTCTCGCAGCGGTCTTCCATGTGAAAAAACAGAGCTGGTGCCATGGGCGGCCCGCTTTTTCAAGGCCGTCAGAAGGAAACCAAAGGTGGGGTCTTCCTGTTCGCTTCCCTACCAACCTGAAAAGGGTGCCCTCAAAATACACATCAACCCGACAAGGGTACCCTCAAAATCACACCAGCCTACAAACCGCCCTGCAAAAGTGTACTTGGTTTCTTGTCGCTTCCCCTCCAAATCCCCAACTGTTCATGTGCTTCAAAGCGACATCCACAATCCCCAGGTCCCTGCGAGCCTCGGCTGAGCTGAGCGAATGGTTCCCAGTGTGTTTGCTTTCTTGAGGCTACCAACTTTTAGAAAGGAAGCCAAAAGGAACACCACCATCTTGGGGGTCCAAAGCCCCTTTGTTGAACACATAGGCATACTTATATGCCCCCTTATAAAAGGTGATGCTTAAAACCACCAAATAGCGGAAACATATGGAGCCCCAAGTCAACGGATCAGCGCAAGTCAAGCACGCTAGAAGCAAAGACAGGAGTGACTTGAACCAAAGACATCCGCTGAGTCACCCGGACTTTCAGAGCAACCAGCAAGCTCTGAACCAACTGAGACCAACCTAAACTCACTTCCTGAGTGGATTGGCCAGAAAAGCCGAACTTGTATTTACCGCTAAAATGGTTTTCCCCCCAAAAAGCATACAGTCCAGGTACTCCGAAAGTGAGTAATTAAATCAAGCACAGCCATCCCGGCAAGTGAGTCGGGGCCCCTCAAGCTAGCGCCGAGCCAGTGGCGGACACCGCTCGCCAGCAAAATGGTAGTTCCACAACAAACATCTTATGCAAGGGCGAAGGCGCACATACCGCTTTCCAGGTATGGAACCACGAATCACAGCTTGCAAGATGGCCAATGGCACGCCAGGTATGTCAGTTGGTTGTTGCTTATTTTTTATGGGGCAAAGAGCAAATAGGGAAAGGACTTAAAAACTGGCAAGGTTGCAGGGACAAAGCGCCGCGCTGTGTGTTTGGTTGAGGACCGCGCCGAAGCCAATGTTCTATTCACAAATACTCGCAGGCATCTGGCCCAAACAAACACTATCCTGCCGAGCTGAGACGAGATCGTGCTGTAGGTGGCAGCAAATACAACATCTAACCAAACAACACCACTCAAGGTAAATCATAGACGCGGGTTCTCCAGAAAGTACAAAGGAAGCTTCGGACCCGGCCCCAGCTTTTTGTAGGGCAATTTAGCGAGGCCCGTGTCCCTCTCAACCATACTCGACTGGCAATTCTGACCGAACATCACATATTCAGGGAGGATCTTCGGGTGTAGATCTTCAAAGTCATGAAGAACAGGAAATAAATACGGGCACCTTGCCAAATAGTTTGTGGAGTCTTGCAGGAAACATAGAAAAGTTGTGGGGAAGCCGCTCACGTCATGAGCCAGTCGCGGATCGGCAAATGTGAACCGAAGCTGTTTGTCTTCCCAAAAAGCATAAAGTACCTGGAGTCTCCATGACCCCTTTAAAGATAGGTCCATGCCCCCCTTATTTTGGGTAATGGCCCCATTTTTAAAGGGTCATGGAGACTCTAGGTACAGACACTTGGAAACCTGCCCCAAGGAATGGAAAGTGCAGAAAAGATGCAGACATGTTCCCATGTAAAACTCCCCGGGGCACGGGTCTCTCAATATAGAACGGTGAACATTTTGACACCTCGACGCATGGACCAAAACGTCAAAATATTGATTTGCTGTGGATTTAAAGCACAATAGTGAACAATCCAACCCAAGAAGGGCGTTTGACCCTGCGGATTGAAGGGAGGGGAGCCTTGATCATTAGCCCCCAACAGGGGGTCTGGACAGAAATAACCATCCCCCTGTTGATTTTTGCTGGAGAATGAAGAACCATACAGGCTATTGATCGCACCCAGCCAACCGGAATGGAGAGCCAAGAAGGCAAAACGTCGCAAAGGTGTAGCCTTTGGTCTGGCAATGTAGGGCTTACGTGCTAAACCTCATGGTTGAACGAGTAGATTGCCCAAAAGGTGAAAAGCTGACTCTTTACTCCAGAAGCTCATAGACACACCCAGACCTCAGCGTATTTCCATGGAACGGGCGCCCATTGTGGTTGTTTCCAAAGGGAAACCGTGAAAAGGGCTGGCAACCTGGAGGTGTGAGACATCACTCAGGCGTGCATGGCTCATAGGGATCGAAACTTCAGAATTGGTTTCCAACAGTCAGCACAGGAAGCTCGCGACCCACTGGAGGTGGGTTAAACAATGACACTTGCTCCTTTGGTGATCTGAGGGTTGAGTTCCACATTGCACGTCCCGGGCACCGGCTTGGCGTTCGGCCGCGGCAGCCGCGCCAAAAGCAGAGCCGCGTCCACCACGCGGCCACGCTGCTTCAAGGAATATGCCACGTCCTGGGACAAAAACGGGTTTGTCAGTGTTCCAGGTGGATACTACTGACATGGCTTATGGTTTTAAATTGAGAGTGGGACGCCCTGTGGGCCCTGGTTTTACAGCGTTTTCAGCTGTTTTTAGCTTTGCTTCCCATGCTGAGCACTTCTCTATTTTTCGCATGTCGTTGTTTTGGCCCCACCTTCAAGTCAAATGATCAGATGTCATGATTCCCTATGCTGAACACTTCTCTTCTTTCTCATGTCGTTGTTTTGGGGCCACCTCCAAGTCAAATTTCATAATTAGCATGCTGAACGCTTCTCTTCTGTTTCATGTCTTTGCTTTGGCCCACCTCCACGTCAAATTATTAGATATCACAATTCCCTATGCTGAACACTTCTCTTCTTTTTCAATTCTTTGTTTTGGGCCCACCTCCATGTCAATTTATTGAATGTCATAATTCCCCATGCTGAACACTTCTCTTCTTTGTCATGCCATTGTTTTGGGCCCACCTTCAAGTCAAATAATCAGATGTCATGATCCCCATGCTGAACACTTATCTTCTTTCTCATATTGTTTTGGGCCAACCTCCAAGTCAAATTCATAGATGTCATAATTCCCTATGCTGAAGACTTCTCTTCTTTCTCATGTGGTTATTTTGGGCCCACCTCCAAGTCAAATTCTTGAATGTCCTGCTTCTCCATGTTGAACACTATTTCACTTGTCATGTCGCTGTTTTGGGCCCACCTCCAAGTCAATTTTTCGATGGAATACTTCCCCACTTCGAACACTTATCTTTTTTATCATGTTATTGGTGGGCATGTCATGCTTCTCCATGTTGAACACTTCTCTTCTTTCTCATGTTGTTTGTGGTCCCACCTCCAAGTCAATTCTCAGATTACATAGTTCCACACGTTCGACATGTCTCCGTCTTTCTCATGTCATTTTGTTGGGCCCACCTCCAAGTCAAAATTATTAGATGACACTTCCCCATGCTGAAGACGTCTCTTTGTTCTCACGTCTCTGCTTTTGGGCCCACCTCCAACTCATGTTTTTTACATGTCACAAATCCCCATGCTGAACACTTCTCTTCTTTCTCATGTCGTTTTTTTTGGGCCCACCTCCAAGTCAAATGCTTAGATGTCATAATTCCCAATGTTAAACACTCCTCTTCTTTCTCATGTTGTTTGTGGGCCCACCTCCAAGTCAAATTCTGAGACGTCATGAATCCCCATGCTGAACACTTCTCTTGTGTCTCATGTCGTTGTTGTGGGCCCACCTCCAAGTCAAATTCTTAGATGTCATAAGTCACCATGCTGAACACTTCTTCTGCTTCATGTCGTTGTTGTGGGCCCACCTCCAAGTCAAACTCTTAGATGTCATAATTCCCAATGTTGAACACTTCTCTTTTTGTTTATGTTTTTTGGGCCCACCTCCAAGTCAATTCTCAGATGTCATGCTTTCCCGTGCTGAACACCTGTCTTCTTTCTCACGTCGTTGTTTTGGGGCCACCTCCAAGTCAAATTATTAGATGTCATAATTTCCCATGCTCAACACGTCTCTTCTTTCACATTTATTTGGGCCCACCTCCAAGTCAACTTCTGAGCACTAGCAAAGATTGTGAAACTGGATGCAACGATGGGCGGAAAGCCGAGCCAGCGTGCTATGCAGCCAGGTGGAGGTGATTACTTTGTTTTCAGTTGGACAGATGGCATGGAACGAGTTGCAGCAAACATATTAAAATGAAGACAACAAGTAAAAAGGACACTGTGCAAGCTTCTTTACTTGGCGTACAAGCTATTCCCAAACTCGTCCCCAAAGTTGTCCCCAAGTCGTCCCGGGTGGGGGGGGGGTCGGCCCCCCCCAAAGTAAAAAAAAAATGTGTTGTTTTTTGTTTGGGCCGACCCCCCCCCCTCCCATCTCCAGAAACCCTCGAAACTGCGCCCATTTCAAACTCATGGCTTTGCGACCCCCCAAGATAAGCACAATTTTGACCTGCTCTTGCTATCTAATAAGGACAAACAAGACAAATGGAGTTATCAAATGGAGGAACAAACCTCAATTCTGATAAATGTGCGTCACATGTCTGAAATCACCGCGTTTTCAGAAACACTGTAAAACAGGGGCCCCTATAGCGTCCCTTTCTGGTTAAATTAGGGACATTATGAACAAAGTTTCTGCGGATTTATGTCCACCAGCCACTTTTGAGGTGGTTCCACTCTTATAATTGATGGCGACATGTTTAGCTTACTTGCCATGGAAACAACAGGCGATAACCTTAGGCCATGACAAGTGGGACACCAAAAAGGAAAACTGAAAGGTCAGACCCGCTCGATTGCTTTGGGCAAGTGGTTAGCTGACGCTATTTTGGGATGGTTTACACCCTGGACTTTGGGGTGTGGTAGTGGGGGTTTTGGGGTTTTGGACACCCCTCTTGGGCTTCATGTGTTTTATGGTGCAGAACTTCTGCAGAACTGCTTCTAAACATTTCCCGCGTGGGAGCTGGACAGCCGACCTGTTGCTGTGCAAAGACAACCGTCTTTTTGGTGGTGTGTGTCCGTGCGCTGGTGCATGCTGAGTTGAGACTCTGAGATAGTCTTGTGCTGTTGCTGAACACAGTTGTTTGGTGTTGCGTGATGTTTCTTTTTACCACTGCCCAAGATAACAATGGTCACGCTGTGACACTATTGACTACTAATTCCTCAAAAGGTCTACCTAAAAACAAACAGTCCCCCAAACAACGATCTTGCTGAGCCCTGGTGTTTTGTCATATGTGCCGTTTGTGTTTCATTGTGGCTTGCTGGCCTAAAGCAGAACCCCTAAGCACGGCTTAGAAGCGGCCAAAGACAAAAGGGGTGGGAACCTCCCCTAATTATCTAGGTTGAAGCCCATTCGCGGAAATCCACCAGTCCACAGCTTCGCTACTTGCAAGTGACGGCGGAATTTCCGCACATCCTACAAGAGCACGAAGAATAATTCGATATTTTGCTGCGCCAACTGTTCTATGACACATGCTGTAAGCTTTAAGCGTGCACGAAGCCATTTGCCCTAACAGGCAGTCCAACATTTCACAAACATAAAAACACCTGCAAAATGATAGTTTTGCCCTATGTCTCTGCAGCACAAGTTGCCTAATCTTGCAGAAAGGTTCTAGGAACGCCTTGGTGAGGCAGGCACGACTCGCATGCATTTCTTGCGCGTTCAGCGCAGCCAGCACTGCATCCACAGCTTTGGCGCACGACATTTTGCCCCACCGTGCTCTCGCGAAGTAAAGGGATTCAAGAACACGGCTCAGCTCAGACCGAGACAATGTTGGACCAGTGTAAATATGTGTATGTGTATGTGTATCTATACATGTGTAGGTGTATGTATATATATATATATGTGTATGTGTATGTGTGCGTGTATGTGTATGAGTATATCTGTATGTCTATGTATGTATAAATATATATATATATATGATAATACCACTATGAATACATATATGTGTAATATACATACAATGGATGGCTTTAGGGCTCTGAAGGCAACCGCAGAAGACAAAGGGGAGCGAATCCTTTCAGCCGTCCTCGCCGATTTCAAGGTCCATGTCCACAAAGTCCATGAGCCGCGTCACCGGCAGGGCGCCTCACGAAAACAAACGCACCCCTGTAGGTGGTTAGTTGTCGGTTGGTTTCCCTGAAAGGCAATCCAAAAAGGGTTCTCCTATTTTGAGACAGACCCAAATGGATCTACTAGATTTCCCTGGGAAAAATGAGAAACCCACCCTGTTGGTTGATAGTTTTTGAAAGGGCCTCCCCAACATGTGGGAAAGAATTGCCCTGTTGATTCGCCAGTCTTTTCGGCCACCTATTGTTTTCGCGTGTCCCCGGCATCTGATAGGGACCCCCTACTGAAACTCGGTCGGGTTTCACGATAGAAATGCGGTGCCTAAGTGTCTGCCCTTGTGGTAGGCCTTTTGATTTGAAACAGGGTCACTATTCATGGTGTGCCCAACTGACACGTAAATTTGGGTGTTGAAGAGAAGGCATTTAATCGCGCACCACTTGGCAACTGAGTCTCACATGCAACCAGCGCTTAGCCCTTCAGGTGTTAGAAAAAAGAAACAGCTGCCAGAACTGGGAAACCAACGGGTCAAAAGTCGGGCTTCGGGCAAGTGAGATTACTTCTGCTTGGTGGTTTCAAGGTAGTACGAGCGCCTGAAACATTGAAGAGTTGTAAAGCACTATCAGGAGTATGTTGTTAGCCATTATTCAGCCCCTTCTACAAGCCAAAAAGGAAACATGATTGTTTGGAGAGTGCCAAAGGCACTCTAAGTGCCCTTTGCTGAATTGAAACAGCCCAAAGGGAACAAAGCAAGTATTGACGTCTACATCCCGTTTTGTATCCCAGGGTCAGTCAGATCGTGATGTGAACGCAATCTTCCCGTTGACCGTTGACCTAAACAACTCGTTGACCAACACTAGGAAAGCAAGATGCGGCCAACAGGAAATGAATAGTTGACTTGACATCCGTTTGAAAGTGTGGTTTAGAATTGAAGCAGTCCCCAAACTCAGAACTCTGCCAAAATGGGGCGAACTGATTCCTTTTTTGCTGAAAGAGCTCTGATTCTCCGCTCATTTTTGCAAAACCACACATGATACCCTCAAACATAGGCACCCATGAGCCAGGATTCCAACATGGAACAGGGTTGTGAGTGGATACCACCCAACATTCATTGGGGGCCTATGCAACACCTTCGAAACCCATACTCCAGTAATTTGTCCATGGCCATGTCCTTAAACATCACCCTTTTCAAATGATTGTGATCAACAGACGACATCACCCTTGGAGCTTGCTCTCCATCCGCATTGGCCCGACTTGTGATGTGAAGTCAACCGAAGAACAGGTTCCTTCGTGTCCCTCTTAAACATCACCAAAAGGATAGACAAATAAAGACTGTCGAACAGGTGATGTTGGACCGACCAAAAATTGAAGTACAGTAGGGTTGTCTCAAAGTAAGCAAACCTGGTAAATGAGTCTCTTTACGGAACAGGACCACACAAACATGTTGTTCTGAAACGCGACACGCCCAAGTCTTTTGAGGATCACTCAAGCTTCATTTTTTTGTGGTTTCCCTTTGGTGCAACATTTAGTTGTCCGTTGACTTGGTAGAACAACAACATAATTGTTTGGGGGCCAGGACCAATTTTAGTCAGTAAGCCACTAAACGGAAAGGGTTTCAAAGCATGACAGGTTGCAAAGCTTAGCATTTGGACACCATTGCAATAACTAATCCCGGACATGTTTTCCCGGCTAAACCCCGGGTACGTAGATTGTTTTGGTCCAAACACAGAATGGACTTTGCTTTAGGGTTCCCAACAAAGGGTGCCCAACAAAACAAAAGGGTGCACAAAAGGGTTTCCAAAAAGGGTATCACATGGAAAAACAAAAACAAGATGTCTAAGGCCAGGGAAACTAAACATCACCTGGAAAACGGGTGATGATTCAAATGGGAACTCGCCTTTGGGTCAAACCCATGTCTTGTCGGCTCAAAATCCAAGGTCGCAACTATGTACCCTGGGTAGGTGCCCCTGCAAAATACCACAGAAGATTAAATGCACGATGGCTACATGGTATATAGCCATCTTTCGTGGGATGCCAGGAGTACCTGGGCGCACGTGGTTTGGACCTCCAGCCGCGCCTCCGCGCTTGGTGTCCAGCGCCCACCTCCTCAGCGCGCAGCGCCGGATGGCGCCCTCTGGAGGGATCTCCAGGCCAATGTGCTCCGCGATGCCACAGACCTCTGATGGTGTAAATATAGAGAGAGAAATACATGTCTACATACATATATATATATACATACATATGTATATATACATATGTATGTATATATGTATATGCTGTCTCTCGCCCCAAGAAATAAAGGTTTCATCACTCTTCAATCCGGGTACCATATGTATAAGTATAAATGGAGAAGTAAGGTGGCTGTGGCTCAAAAAAACGGTACCAAAATGGAACCCTGGTAAGTGGAAACATGGACCAAAACCTGCGTAACCCCTCCTGTTTAATTTTGAGCCACACTCAGGTGACAAAAACGGTCTGAACGAATCAAACTTGAAAGGAGTCGGAAAGCCACCAGCACAACAACAGGAACCAGTGGGCTAGAACATTGGATCGATGAAATGCCGAAGCGCAATCTCGAAATCCTCGATGTCTGCGTGCGCATCGAAACGCCTCAGGAAACGATCACGGTCCGAAGGTTCCCTGAAAAGGACATACCCAGACACTCATGACTCATGTGCAGTTCTAATTTGGGAGTGTCTGACCCCTCGTATAGGGACCCCAGGGCCCAAATAGCCTCCATTTTGAAGGCCCGGGTAGTAGTCGGGAGCCTTTGCGAAGGAAAGTTAGAGTCCATCCCTGCAGGAACATTTAGAGCTCGTCCCCTCAAGTCCCTGGACCATCTGGGGTGTTTGATGAATCCTCAAAACCCAAACTTCCCGTGCCCAGAAAGGGACGATCCGTTCTCAGACATGAGCAAGCTAGCCTGGGCACATGGGCAAGCTCGGTGCTCAAGTTCGGGGGCCCAAACTGTCAACGCATTCCTTTTGGTTCCAAAAAATGGTCGGGTCCCAAAATCGACAAACAAACCTGGGGAGCCTTGTCTATGGGTCGAACAGAACGCACTGACGCAAAAGACTTTTTTTTTGGAGGATACCCTTTTTGGGGTTGGCTTAAAAGTAAAACAGACGTAAACGGCCAAGCTATATTATGTGTGATTCGGGCACGAGCCTGTGCCCAGGCAATGGGTAAGTTGGGGTAAACAAGCCACAAAAGAAAGGTTCCCCAAAAGCAAACCAATCCCCGGTCCCAAAGATCAGGGTTTCCCACACACCAGAGAACAACAACCAAAGGAAAACAAACCAAACAAGAAAAGGGTTAACCCGCAACCTTGGTCGACAACAGGCCGCACGACTGGTCCCTACCAACCTGGCGGCGGCCCGAGGTCTCTTTCTCCCCCGAGATGCCGTCGGTCGACGCAGGGGTTCGGCGACGCCCATTCGAGGCGCGACGGAACCCAAAACTTGAGCCAAAACACCACAGGTCGGTCACTAACGCGACGTTCCTGATGATGATATGAACCATGGCTAATCACACCCCCCTCACGAGGAGCCCGTCATATGACGGGTGGAGCGTGCCATTTACTGATAGGATTTAACTGCTCGCATGCGTCCGCAAACAGCTGGACACTACCGCCGTCAGCGGTGGAGCAAACCCACAAAGGCAGTTGCGCGACATCCCGGGCATTAAATTCCCGCCACCACCCCGAATTAATCGGGGTAACGCTGTCCAACAAACCTTGTGGAAAAGTCCACATGACGACATTAGGTCACAACTGTTTGCATCAACAATGCAAGAAGTTTAATTCTTATCAGAAGCCATGAAATAAAAGATAACGTATGTCCATTAGTACCCTCGCCTAACGGCAAGAGGTACCCCTGACCATGCGTACCTGAAAAATGCTTGAATTCCGCAAACCCGGGAGTAACCCCCCATCAGTTTGCTTTCCCTCTCACTCATACTGCTTCCGGATGAGCACGTCCAGCAGCTCAGCAGCGGTACGGGAGAGACATGACCTCCGCGCCTCAGCGGTCCGGGAGGAACATCACCACCTCCACACCGCGCCGACCATTGGAGAACGGACGCAAGCCTATCGGCCGCAATCCTCGTGACTCAGCCTACCGGCTATCGTCACGTCTCCTCCGGTCACGTCCGCCCCGCGCACGGTCCCTATCACGATCCCTTTCGGATCTCCTGCGATCATCTCGCCTTCGATCCCGCTCCCGATCGAGTGAATCATCATCACGACGATCACGAGCATCGTCCCTCCTCCTGTCGCGATCATCCTCGCGCCGCGGACGATATCTGCGCCTCCTCGACTCTCTGGAATCCCTGGTGTCCACGGTCCTAACGGACCTCCGAGAAGGAGTACGGGAAATATCCGATTCCCTACGCCTCCTCCCAGATTGAGAGTTCGTCACGATCTGGTTGAGAGCTTCCAGTGCCGACGCGTCCTCACCATTTCTGATGAAATCCCTAACCTGCCTGTTCAGCACTCTGTTGGTGGAGATCGTCAAGAAAGCGTCCACCACCGAACTCTCAGGCAGCACCAGGAAGTGACCCTCCACCGGGCTCGCCGCGGCCCGCTCAGCAGACTGTAGCCGGATCTCCTCGCCTTCAGGCTTCTTTGCCATCGCCTTGGAGGCAGTCAAAGGCGCTACCGCATCCTTTGCCGAAGATCTGCCAAGCGCGGAGTGAAGATCATCCCCGCTAGCTTCTCTCGCTGCCGCACCTGGTCTGCTGTCGACGTCGCCAGGCCTCGTGGATGCCTCCCGCTTTGTCGACTCCTTCGCAGCCTCGTCGGGATCCCAACGGGACTTCCTTTCTCTCTTCTGCCCTTCGGCCGACCCGCGGCTACCGCCGGGAGCGTCACCTCCGCCTGTCTTCTCCTTCTTGACCTCAACCTTCGGTTCGGCCTGCTTCGTCTCCTTAGCCACAGCTTTTGGAGCCGGAGCACTCCTCGCCTCAGATGCCGAAGCAGCCTTCCCTTTCGGCTCTGCCTTAGGAACCGGGGTCACTTTAGCCTTGGCACTCGGCCTGGCCCCTTCAACCACCATCTCGGCCCAAGACTTCTTCGGCTGAGCTGCTGCTGCATCAACCTCCATCGGAGCAGGTCCAGCGTCATCCTTCGCCTTTGGGACGGATGGGCTACCGCCCTTACCGGATCCTTTACCCGGCACTTCACCTGATTTTGGTGGCGGGCCGGAAGGACTACCGCCCTTACCGCCCTTTTCCCCCTTTTTCCCTTTTCCTTTTCCGCCCTTGGGGACCGGCTCCTGCTTGGGACCAGGACCCGGCGCAGCATGATGCACCGATTGGAGTCCCTCGATGTCCACGTTCAAAGGTTCGGGTTGACGACCGTCAAGAACCGTCCTCACCATTTCGTCACTAACGTAGACGAACGGGTCACGGAAGGGTGCGGGAGGCTCCGACTGTCCGGCGCTGATCGCCTTCTGCACCTTGGCTATCGCCTCCTTCAACCTCTTCTTCTCATCATACCCTGTCTCCGATACCATGTACTCCCTGAGCTGCGACATCAACGCATGACTCTCCAGGATGTCCACGTCCTTTCGATGGGTCGGGTACAATGGGGTCAGATGACCAGCCGCAGAACCAATCACGTATGCCATCGGAATATAGAATGACAAGTACGTGTCATGACGAGCGAACTTCCTAACGGAAGTCGTCATACGCCTACCCCACTGAGCAGCGTGTCTTGGGTTGGCCCGGAAGTACTCCGTGACCGACTCAAATCTATCGACTTGGTTGGTCTTGATCAGGTGCTTCGCCACCCACTTCTCCACAAACGCATCCGAGGCCGAAATCCCGGACACATAGGAGAATTGGAAGAGCACCTTCGCCAGCTCATCCCACGCCGCATCGACACCTCCCTTGTCTTCACCAAGATAAGGGGGAAGTCTGATGCCGCTCTGCACCGTCATCCTTAGATCGGATGCCATTGAATAGGAAATCAAATTCCTTTTGATGACTCCGACCACTTCGGAGGGAATCCTCCTGGGCTTGAACTGCCCCATGGTCCTCACCCACTCCGGCACGATGTGGCACGTTTCGAAGTCCTTTTCCTCCGCGTTGGGGATAAAGTTCGGGTAAAAGACCGGGAGCGCGCACCCGGGACACAAGTGCATCCCATTCGGCATCAATTCCGCGCACCTCAAGCAGAACGTGGCAGTCACATTCAGCCTGATCTCTTCCCGTGATCGCTTGTGCTCTCCCCTAACGGGGGTGAAGTCACCGTAGTCCCATGCCCGATGGTACACTATCGTGTAATCATCGTACATATACGCCGCCTTCCAAGCCCCCATGTGGATCTCGTTCCTAACGGCAAGAGTCTTCCTTCTCGTCAAAAACACGGGTCCAACCAAGGACCAGTGCACCCGAAGATCCACCATTACCACCACGTACCTACCGGAGTAGTTCCGCAGCCTGTCCCTGACATACCACGAAGGCGATACCTCAGCATCCGGCGCCATGGCTCCCACAAGTGGGATCAGGCCCTCATCCTGCCTACCATCCCCAATGGTCTCGTACACATCGGGCCTCGTGATCAATATCTCGATCATGGCCTTTCCATTTCGCCTCACCCTTTGGAGCTGAACCGCCTTCCGAAAGTCCGAGAACTTCATGATGACGTATCCCACCATGGGGAGTTCATTCCAATGCATCTCATACATTAGAGATCCGCCAGGTGCATCTTCCTGAGTATACCTGTGCCTAACGGCACTGTAACTCAAGTCGCGTCCGATCCGCGTGTGCCTAACGGCAACCAACCTGGTGCTCTCCTTGAGGAGAACGCCATCCCCGTCGTACATGACCATGAGCATCGCCTCCACTTGCCCTATCGGGAAAGCATTAAGCGTCGGAATGAAGAATTTCCAAGACATCTCAGCGTTCTCCATGCCCGAAATCTCCTTCAGAAACCAGATGGCCTGGTCACTTTTCACCCAGTTTCCAGCCTCACGTCCGGTCTCCTTCAGCACACGTTCCTCGAATAACTCCGAGACTCTCTTTGAATTGATGACCAAGCCGTCGAAATCGCACGAGAGCAGTCTCATCAACTCCTTCGCCGCCTCCCGTCCTGCAACAGTGCCCACGGTCTCCTCGTAGTTCGGGAGGTATTCACCCAACCTCGTCTTCGAGGGAACCACAATCTGGCAAGTGACGGCCTCATCAGGGATAACTCCCGTTTCCCTTAACTCCGGATTGATCTCTCGCCTATCGGCAAGATAATCCTCCTTCCCATCCAGTATCACAAGATTGTAGGTCATCTTGCTCGCCGCCCCACTAGGCCTGAACTTCCTGCTATCATCCAGCTGGTCAGGAGCAAAGGGTCCACTAGGGGCAGCTGCACTCACCAGAGGCGCTCCTCGCCCAGAGCAGAGGTGCTTCTTGTGGAAGTTCACCATCTGATTCAGCTGCGATAGTGCGTAGGCACGATCCTCCAATGACGCACTCTTCATCCCAGCCTCAGTCAGAGGAGCCTCAGGCTTGTCATAACTCGCCTTACCGCCCCATCTCGCCGCGACCAGCTCAGCAGACTTCACAGGGTCGATCAAATTCCCCGACCACCCAGGCATATTGCTCAACCTCCTAGT